TGAAAACCATTTGCAATCGACGATCTTGTGAGTGCGTGGCTCATCATGAGGTCGTCGTCACGAATGATGATCTGAAGAAACAACCAAGTATTACTAAACTGTGGTCAGCTGACCGCGGAACCTTCGGAACCCATATTCTTTTGTAAGAAAAAAAATCATCAGATGAAGGTTCGTTTTCGGGTATTAAAGAAGAATACTTTATTTGGATGTCAAGGTACATAAAAAAAAAACATATTTCTATTTTAACGTTATCTTCTTTATAAGCGAAAACGGAATATCGATCGAACAATGTTAGGGTATTTTAGTTTTTATTTTATTTCATCATTAATTATTTTTGTTAACAAAAAAATAATGGTTACCCAGGTTCCAAAGGTTCCGCGGTGTGCTGATCCTCAGTTTAGTAACATCCGAAATAAACGCGTACTTTTAAAATATACTCATCGCTAAAACTTGAAGCAACAATAGTTGTTTGATTTGCATCCGCACAAGCTCTTAAATTAGGGGAAACGCGTTGTATGAAAGTAATTAGGAGAAATCATTTCAATGCTTTTACTAGGAATGGCTTCGTGAAACAATAGGTTGTTCTTACTGTCACGCAACGAAAAATTCATTCATTCAAAGGCAAATAATTTTTAGGTCAGATGATTAGAGAAATAATTTTTTTAAAGGGAGAGAGAGATTTATGAATATCGTTTGCCGAACGTTGTGATAACTTTATCATGGTTATGTGAATTTATCTATGATATTGAGAAGATAATAGCTATTTCTTAAGTAATTGAAATGGAGTTGTTTTTGTCAAGGTCTTAAATTCTTGACGTTACAGGGCGCAAAAAAATAAAAAAGTAAAAAAGATTAATAAATAAATAATAATGATAAAAAATGGCAATCTTTGGCTCTGTTTGATCCTAGTTTTCACTAAATTTACATGCCATGCGATATCACTGGTATGAATAGAGACGAGGAGAGGAGGGAGGTTAAACCCTCTAAAGATCAGAACTGGGTTGATCACGTCACTTGTCTCGTAATCTGACCAATTCACCGTGAACAAGACTCTAGCAGAGTCAGAAGCTTTAAATTTTCTTTGAGTACAGTATACCGTCGTAAACAAAGTGGATGCTCTGCTATATTTTAGCCTCAATAATAATTAAAATTTGCTCCTTTAATCTCTTTTAGGAATGTTTAGTGTACTAATCACGGTTGACATGCTTGCACTGCTATCATTTTCATGATTAATGAAGAAATGTAAAATGGTTTCCGTGTTCACATAGCCTGATGTAAACACGCGGGAGGTTGGGAGAACACGAGATAAGCGTAGGAAACCACGACGCAAAGCGGAGTGGTTTCCAGCTTATCTCGTGTTCTCCCGACCTCCCAAGTGTTTACATCAGGCTATGTAAACACGGAAACCATTTTACATTTCTTTTATAAAATAACTAATGAAAGAGGAACGAAAACTGTGTTTACATACGCTCATGTAAAATGGTTTTATGGCCAATCAGAGCGCGTGTACTGTTTGAATTATTTTATAAAACAAACTCTTATAATTTCGCCATGAATCCTATTTCGCAAGATGATCATCTCACATCTGGAGCTTGGGCTGTCTGTCAATTCATGTACTCTAAACAGAACGAGATTGCGCTTTCATTCATTCCCACTAGCAAGCTCCAAAAAAAAGAACATCCTATTTTAATTTGCCTATCGATGTTTGGAATCTTTTCCTTTTTGTGCCTGTTCATTTAAACGCGTCAAAAGGGAAAGGCTCGCTCACACATTTGACTTTCAAGGAGTATCTGAAGATATATTTTGAATCACTACGACTGAATTTGGCTCAAATTAAGAAAAAAAGTAAATCAATCATATTTGAAGGATTGAAACATCACTTGAAAGAGGAAGCAATAGATAGACGCAAAAGGAATTGATTGACGTGATTTCTATCGCCATTGTTAAGTTTTTGGTAATTCAGTTAGGCTGCACGCTTTGAGATTCCTTAAGATATTTGCTGATACTTAAAAAATGTACTTAGCTTTTATGTTTACTGTAGTTTGCTAACCTACAAGTTGTCCAAGAGCCAACACTTATCGGAATTTGCTGACTTTACGAAACGTCGGCCTTTGATAGCTGCCCGAAATTTACTCGTGTCAATTTCTATTTATATACCTTCTTGATAATATTTAAAATTGATCATATCCGATTGTAAAACTTCTGACCGCAGACCGCAAAGCTGCTGTTGTCATAAGATAACGTTGTTTGTTTCCAAAAAGAATAGCGACTCTGGAAATTTCTTGTTTGTTTTGCCCATAGATAACAATGGTCTTCAAGAAAGTTATTCACTAGGAACATGTTAAGATAGCTGCGAACCGATGCTTACTTTCGCTTTGTTACAGTTTCGAGAGGAACATGTCGAGACGAACGTTTCCATTTGGTAACGTGATATAGCGATAATTGATTCAACTTGGAGTTTGCGATCTCGGGAAATAGAACTTCCCCGGTCTGTAGTCAGATGCATTCGCCTATCTTGTGTACCTCGCCGTTCAATTCCAAAATCAAGAAAGTCTTTAGCGACCAAATACCGTCTCCTTTTTTATATTCTAAGTAACTGAATATTGATGGCCGGCCTCGACTTCAAAGATTTTGTAGGTTTAATTGACTCGTCATGTCTGTCAATTTTCCTATAATTGGTTGTTTGGCAAATTTACATTCTATTGCATTTAAATTTGCCTTAAACGATAAAATAACTATGCTCTTTAAACGGAAGGAACACGCGACAGTTTGATGTTGAAAAGCTTTCCTTCTTTTAGTTGCTGTTCCTCTTACACATCAAGGTTAGGTGCTTCAACTAAGCGAGTACATTCTAGTTTAATAATCCAGGCTGCGACACGCATCTGTCTTCTAGTGTTGTGCATGCATAATTGTAAAACTGAAGGGATCTCTAGATTTTAAGCCTTACCAACCTGTCCAGGGCACCTTTTGCATCGAGATATCTTAGAGTCTATAATGCCAGCTCATTTTCGATCGATTTTAGTTTCAACTTAACATGTTTCCTTAATTTATGACAAAACTTCCGGGTGTTGCATGAGCTTGTACTTGTCACGTGATTCAGTGAATTTGTTTGATGTGATGGATTGTAATTTAAGTTTAGTTTGAACTTCTGGATTATAATGCAAGTCATCAATTGAAAGACGATAACTTGCTCTTAAACACGGCTAAATCGATTAGTTAATACTTCCAACAGCGCTCGTCTCAGCTTCAGCTTTCATATACTTTCTAATTATAACAAACAATTCATTTGAATTATGGTGGTTAGATACCTTCAATCTTAATTCTTAAGCAAAAAGTGCAATAAAAATTGAGAATTGTTAGCAAGTTAAACCAGACATGACATAGTTTGATGTTTGGAGTAAATCGAGCTGTTCGGTTCACGATTGAATGACCCTAAGGAATTTTGAATTTCAGTTCCTACGGATGATTCAGTTTGGCGATTTTTTCTATCACAAAGGCTGGATTTTTCCGTTTAAAACCATACAAGGCAATTGATAAGCGTATTAAAGAGAACTTTTCTTGATGAATTTGTAAATTTTAAGGCGCTTTTGAAAAATTCAGAGCAAAAAAACATTGTGCGCGTCGTTTTCAACGCAACGCACTTTCAAGGCCTTTCCAAAGTCATGTGTGGTTAATTTACCTTTTTTCCTGATTGAAACATTCGCTTTTTATTATTTCTTCTTTTTATGCTGTGATTTTTTTTATTTGAATACATCGTGGAATATCCAATGAATTTCGCTGCGCAACATTTGGTAAACTTTCCAGATCCCTTCACTGTCAGAGTTGACCAATCTACATTCTTTCCTTACAAATCAACACGTCTACAAATGACCAGATGATAAAACTTAAGGAAATAATGAACAGAAGCTAGGACTATCACATAAGTAGGTACAAAGCACCCAGTAAAGAGAATGTTTATTTAGACATTGAACGTGAAATGATTAAGACGCTTAGAGAATTGCAATTGCAAAGGTAATCAAGCTGCAAATGCTACTTTGACTCGTGTAAACTTCCTATGGTGTGCTTGTAGCACTGTCACGCAGTTTTAACTCAAAATTTATTTTAAATGTGTAAAAGGAAGGAAGGATATCAAAATAGAGAGGCTAACCACGAAGTCTACGCTGAACGGCAAAAATGAACTTCTTGCAAGCTGCCTGCTTTTAGTGTTCATAATCAGTTGGCTGATATCACTTAGGAGGAGTGTTTGATAATCAAATCAGCTATGTTGCACTTTTAAACCTCTGAATAATGGCTGGATTTTATGGAGAGAGGTTACATGCTTGTCACTTCTAGGAGTTAAAGGGTTAAATAACAAAGCGAATCATATATTCTAATTCGAATATGAAAGATTTTACTACACTATCATTTATGGGAGGAAAACAGTTTATTATGAGCTGACAGAATGGGTTTATGGTCGAGTTACGAGATTTAATTTAATTTTTCGGATCAGTACTCAAAGACTTCAAAGGCCTCTGTTGATTCTTTCCCAGCCGTTTGATTCCTGCTCGCCCTGTGAATTGAATAATGAAGTGACATTTTGAATCGTTGATTTCATATCACCGTAGTCTCCTTCGCGGGCGTTTGTTCTCTCAAAAGAACAACAGCTTTGAAAAATGTCACTTTGAACTAAGAGTTTGATTTGAATTTCAGATGAGCCCGAAGTTACAATTGATGGTGATCAAGAACAGTTTATAGCTAAAGGCGAGAAGTTCACGTTGATCTGTCGGTATAACGCTTCATCGCCTGTGTCTAGGGTGCAGTGGAAAAAAGATGGAAAAGTGATTGCAGTTAATGCCAATAAGACTAATAGTGGATCAAGAGTGACTGACATCTTTTATAATGAAAGTCTATCACAGCTGTTAATCGCATCAGCTTCCTCACAGGATTCTGGAAATTACATCTGCAATGTTACAAATACAGTCAATGGTACAACAGATTCGACATCGATTGTTATTCAAGGCATGTATATGGTGTTCATTATATGATGTACAGCATATTCGCGGCATTATTTCTCTTACTGTTCCTGGTTAATTTTTTTTTAACATGTGATCTGTGCCTTTTTCGCCTTCTCCAAAACAAAACCGTCGCCACAAAACAATTCTCTCGTCAACATGAGAATGAAATTATTTGATCAGTCAAACAAATTTGCCATAATTTTTAGACAACAACCATTCCTTCCTCTTAAACAAATAAAATATAAAAACCAAAATTAAAAAATAACCAAAAAAAATTGATCAAAGGAAAGTTTAACTTAGTACACTTTAGAAGGCTTCGAAAAAAGACGTAGAAGTAAAATTGTTAAATACCTTGGAATACCAAGTAACTGACTAAAATAATTGTACCCTCTTACAGAGAAGCCCTCTACCAAACTGCAGCCGGAAACTGTTACCATCAAGGAAGGAGAAAATGTCACGTTATTTTGTAACTCTTCTGGAAGCTCTCTAACAATAACGTGGAAATTCAACGAATCTGATGTAACCACCTCAGGGGATTCAAGGATCAGTTTTTCACATGACAATCGACATTTGATTATAACGAACGTGAGCAGGGTAAACAAAGGAGAATACAAATGTGTCGCGAGCAACAAGGTTGGAAACGACACATCTAATGCTGCCTTTGTGTCTGTTGAATGTAAGTACAGAGCAAACGTAACAGGCCGTTTCAACTTGTTGGCAGCCTTGAAGTTTCTGTTTTCCTGCTGGGCTAGGCTTAAGATGATAGTGGACAAAAATTGCATTCTTAAGTTGACATACTTATACAGTCTACTAAATTAACAAGTATTCACCGAAGTGGAGGTGGGGAGTGGCGGATATTTACCAAACTGCGAAGCGGCGAGCCGGTTAATATCCACCTCTGGCCGCCGACGCTGAGGTGAATATATGTATTTCTTTTCGGATATACTAAAACAGTGCGATAATATGACACAAAAAGATGATTTTAACTCATCTATTCCTTTTATTATTACAATATTCTCAGACAGAAATCCCGCGCTCGTTGCTCGGAGGTGATTAGAAAAGGATATTCGGAGATTCAAAAGCCAATCAGCGCATGCCTTCAACGCTGTCTACCGATATAGTATTATACTAATGTGGATTATTGATATAAACAATTTTGTAATCGTTTTAATTCAAATCGATTTTTTAATCCCTGCTGTTCTTTTACAGTTATCAAACAGAATAACTATCATTCAAATCAGTGTTGCAGGGTTACGGAAAGACAAACGGCAATTCTTGCAGTATTTTGCGAAATGTGTATTGTTTTGCAGTGAATTAGTTTTGATTTTTTCATCTTCATATCACTAGTTGGACCTGAAATCTCCGAACCTCCAACTAGTCGCACAAATGAGGAAGGACATACCGTTGAGTTCAGTTGCGAAGTAGCAGGATACCCTACACCTGATGTCACTTGGACAAAGAATGGAGTGGAATTGAATTTGACAAGAGATGTGCGACTTAATGTATCTTCCAATAATGGAAACCACCATTTGACTATATCAAATGTTCAACAATTGGATGCAGGACAATACAGATGTGTTGCTAAAAACAGTTTGGATACCGCGACTTCATCCCCAGCGACCCTATCAGTACAATGTGAGTGTCAAAGTAGTTTATCTTTGTAACGTTCTAGTGTTCACTACTGTTTTATTCCAGTTTCTTTCAGCGTCGATCACAAATTCTATATATCGATGTTATTGACAAAGCCAATGATGCTATACTTGAAGTTCCTCAATGGATTAAATATATGTGCTGGGCATTGAAGGGAACAGCGTCAAATTTGTTTTCGATTTTTTAGCTTCTTCTTCTCAAATTTTTGACTTGCGGTTTCTGTTATCAAAGGGTCCTAGGTAAGTTCTCGTTTTACAATAATCTCCGTTAACTTCAATATGATCTTATTACTAAAGAACAGTTTCTATGTCGTATTATTGAATTCTAGTTGCGCCAGAAGTCACAATCATTGGAGATCAAAAACGGTATTTAGCCAACGGCACTGATCTATTGCTGACATGCCAATTCAAAGCCTTGCCTACCGTTTCTGAAGTGCAGTGGGTAAAAGATGGGATTGTAATTGCATCAACCCTTGCTACGCCTTTGAATGGGTCACGTGAGCCTATTTCACACCAAAATGGAAGCCAAGCTCAGCTGTCGATCATCGCAGTTTCCTTGGAAAATGCTGGAAATTACACCTGCAATGTTACAAATAATGTTGGTAGCTCTTTGGACTGGACATCGATTGTCATTCAAGGTATGTTGCCATGTAAATAAACTTGAACATGAAAACATTTTTTCCTTTCCTGTAAAAATTGCTCAGCCGTATTTATCTCATTCAGGATCTTCTTGCTGTGTTTTGTAATTGTTTGTTTGTTTGTTTTTGGTTTGTTTATTTATTTTTTGGCCAAAGGTGACCAAAATCAAAAGTTCGGTGTGAAGTTGAAGGAATGTTTTATAGTCCAAGATCAATCTTTTAAAAAGCGTGTGGCCAAAATTTGACTCATGAAATGTCACACATTGAAAGACCGATCTGTGCGTCAGTCCTCTAAGACCTTAAGGTACCTCGAGAGACTCAATGGAGTCCTGGCTTTTACGGCTAAAGGTTAAACTTTTGGTCAATTTCGGTCACTAATTAAAATTTTTCAATTTTTACGCCAGAGGGCAAATGTTATCGGGCGTCACTGGTTTACTCCATTGAGACCCTCTACTTCTCACGCGTCGCAAGTAACATGATTGGCCGAAAATTTTTATTCTGAAGTAAATAAGGAAATAAATTACCAACATCATTGGGAAATTCCATGCATGTTTAGACGCCAACGTTCGTCTAGTCAGGGGAGGGGTGAAAATCTAGTCCTAAAATGCAATAACCGGCTTAGGGGACGCCTGGGAGAGCAAATTTGTAACATGCAAAACTGCTGTAGAGCTGAGGAGATTTTTCATTTATGTATGAGCTCTTTGCATTCTGCAGTGACGCCTTCTATAGAGCAGGACCCAAAAGCCAGTCCGATCAAAGAGGGAGAAAACTTGACTCTATTTTGCAGCGCTTCTGGAAGCTCTTTGAGGATATCATGGGAAAAAAATGGATCTGATGTAAATTCCAGCGAGGATTCGAGAATCCTTTTGTCAAGAGAAAACGTACAGCTGACAATAGTTAATGTGAGAAAAACAGACAGGGGAGCCTACCAGTGTGTGGCGAACAACGAGGTTGGAGTTGCTACCTCCAATGCTGCCATAGTAAATGTTCAATGTGAGTACAATTATGGTTTAACGAGTTGTTGCGAAATGTCAATTTACTGAAAACATATGTTTGGCCTGAGAAGCGGCAAATATATTTGATATGTATTTAATATGTATATGTGTATATGTAAATATTTAACCTTCAAGGGTGATTGACCTTTTTGGGCAAATCTTTCTTTACTTTGACTTTAATGTGCCACAGCAGAGTTCTTTCAAATCGAACAAGCAACTGATTGTCATGAGGATTTTTTACTCTCATTTTGCATGATGCTTAGTTTTCCAGAGGTTGGGGTACTGTATAAGCATTTCGGGCTTATGGATTCGAATCTTTTTAACGCCCAATTTTTACGCCCGATATTTTTGCAACTGCCAACTTAGACTGAATAAATGGCAACGGTTGTTACTTTATCGGAACGAAATAATCCTTAAAGCAAAATTGCAAACTATTTGTTGTTTTGTTAGTTTAGAAAAAACAATCACTATTGTTGATGATTGCAGACCTGTTTATATAGGCGTTGATGTTTTGAGTGTTGAAGGAAAAAGGTTGATTTTGTGTTGTTCACTTAGCTTTAACTTAGATCACAGCTGCATAGTTATGGAAGTACACTATCCGTGATTTAGTGACAAGTGGTGCAATATTTTGTGAATACGTTTAATATTACAGTGACTTGCAATTCTTATGCGTTTATTTATTTATTTTGTTATGCCTTTTTTATATATCAGTTGGGCCTGAAATCTCCGAACCTCCAATTGATAACACGAAAATGGAAGGACAGACTATTGTATTCAGTTGCTTGGTGGCTGGATACCCTACACCTTCGGTTGCTTGGACAAAGAATGGCGTCGAATTAAATGTAACAGCAAATTTACGACTAAGTGTCTCTTCCAAGGACGGAAATCACACTTTGAAAATAACAGATGTTCAAAAGTCAGATGCAGGACAATATAGATGTGTCGCTAAAAACAGTTTGCAGACCTCAGAGTCATCTCCCTTGACTCTTACAGTGCAATGTGAGTCTAACAGTAGTTTATCTTTGAAGTATTGGAGTACTGAATGTTTAATTGTGTCTTTTGCGCGGTTGTCCTCAAATAACATATTATACAGGTTTTTTTAAAGCCAGTCAACCTCTGGTGGTACATTGCTAAGGATTTTAAAACGGACCAAAATGAGTTGACATCTGGGTGATAATTGATCGTGCGAGTCTTCCTCAGTCGCCTTCAGCTCACATATCCTCTTTTCCTCCTTCTCAGTTCATCTGTTTATAAAGGACGTAGGCAAGATACTGTTATTTCGCATCTAATTCTAACTGTAAAATTGAGTATTAAGGAAAAGTGGTTTTACAACATTTTCTTAAATTTCAGTTGCACCAGAGGTGACAATTGACGGAGATCGAATACATTATGTAGCCAACAGCACAAATTTACTGCTTACGTGCAGGTTTAACGCCTTGCCTCCCGCGTCTGAAGTGCAGTGGCTAAATAATGGGAACATGATTGCATCAACCCTCACTGTTCCCTCAAATGGGCCAAGAGCGACTATTCCACATCATAATGAAAGCCAAGCTCAGTTGTTAATCACCACAATTTCCCTAGAAGATGCTGGAAATTATACTTGTAATGTCACAAATGTTGGTGGTAGTTCCTTGAATTGGACATCGATTACTGTTCAAGGTATGTTCTGTTACGAATGGACACAAAAATACAATTTCCCAAAGCAATCACTCGGCGTTAATTATCTCATTTAGGATCAAAAATCACCTATCCACTGAAGAGATTTGCATTATTTGTTTATTCGTTGGTTGGTTTGTTTGTTTTTGCTGGATTTTGTTTTTGCTTTGGTATTTGTTTTCGGTTTTCTTGGTCGTTAAGGACCGAGACGAAGAGCTCGATCTTTAAGGTCAAGGAGCCTTTGAGTTGTGTAAAAATCATATTTTTTGCAATCCCTCTGACCTCAATCTGACTCAGAAAATAACATGTATCGAGTCTTCCTGGCAAACCCTCTGTAAAATGTCGTACTAATGTTAAAATAGTGGCATCGTCATTATTGGTTTAGTCTCTGGCGAAAAGATATAGTGCTTTACATTCCTACATTTTGGACTCCAACTGGTGCCTAGTTATGTGGGTTGGAACCGGCTCGAGAAAATTTATATAACCTGTTTGGATACGGAAAAAAACGAATAATAGATAAACTTCATAAGTTTAAAATACTTGTTTGCATTTCTACAGTGACGCCTGCCATTGAGACGCACCCACAAGCTGATCTGGTCAAAGAAGGAGAGAACTTGACTCTCTTTTGCAACGCTACAGGAAGCTCTTTGACAATATCATGGACGAAAAATGGATCTGCTATAAATCCAGATAAGGATGTATGGATGCGTTTGTCAACAGACAACGAGCAGCTGGCAATAACGAACGTGAGCAGAAAAGACAACGGAGCATACCGGTGTGTGGCGAGCAACAATGTTGGGGATGCTACCTCCAATGCCGCCATAGTGACTGTTCGATGTGAGTTTAACTATGCTTTACGATACGACTTAGATATAAATTGTTGTGTATTTAACATTCATCTTTGGTAAAAAATTTTTAAGGAACGTCGGTTTCATTTGTTTTCTTATTTGATACAGTGCTCTAACCAACAGGTCGCACTACATCTTGTAAATTATGTCTGATTTTGTAAAGACTCATAATTTAATTTTTATTATTTATATTTACAGTTGCTCCTGAAATCTCTCAATCTCCACGTGATACCACGGAAGTGGAAGGACAAACTGCTGTGTTCAATTGCATAGTAGCAGGATACCCTACACCTGATGCTGCTTGGACAAAGAATGAAGCGGAATTGAATGTGGCTGCAGATGCGCGACTTAATATATCTTTCAATGATGGAAACCACCAATTGACTATATCAAATGTCCAGCAATTAGATGCAGGTCAATACAGATGTGTGGCTAATAACAGTTTGGATACTGTGACTTCATCTCCAGCGACCCTAACAGTGCATTGTAAGTCTAAGAGATATTTCAGTGAAGCTTGCGAGTGTTGAATCTTCCTTTATTTGTTTTGTTTTGTTTAATTGAGCCGTACCCTCTTCCGCAAGGTGAAACGGAAGTGTCTAAGAAAACTGACACTAATCGCGTTCTATGGCGTCATTATAATCTATGCAAAATGGTGTAACTTGTTATTATTTTTTACGTGCTAGCGAGAAAGGTAATCGAAGTAAACAACAATTCAAATGAATTCATTTTCCATAGTTTCGGGCAAATTTGCAATTCAGTGTCCGCCTTCAATTATATACTTAGCTTTAAGGATATAGAAAAATATTCGGGGATATTGGGTGTAGAGTAAGAACAGGACGTTGTTTGATTGGCATCGTGCTTACGAAACCAGATTTTAATGTTTAAGCGGTTTTTCAGTGCCACGGTCGTCTAAGAAAGTTGGATCATTGCCGCAGAATCTCAAGGTTTTACGGATTTCTTTAAAAGATAGCTACGCTGCACGTGTGAAAAAAAGAGCGACTCTTTTCTCAGTAGAAAAAAATCGCTGGAAGAAACAACTAGTTTTAATTTATTAGCTTCGCAGCACCGTTCGCAAAGAGACCGAAAGTTGAAGGCGGACAATCCTCTTGGCGCAAGACCATTGAGATAGAGCACCTGGTCTTCCATGAGAGCTTTAACGGGCGGCACAATAAATGTAGTGAACGGTTTCTTATAGAGAAGAGAGGCGATCGATATCTGGCGCGGCTTGATATATTGAAGATTTTCCATAGCCAATTAGAAACGAAACGGAGACGTCGTAATCTTCAAAAAACACATCTATGGTTGTCTGCTGTTCTTCTTGAAATGTCTCTATCTCAAAAGTCGCGGAAACTGGTCTTCAAACCTCGTCGTAGGTCTCCCTTATTCGTAAAGTCGACCGTGAAAGCACTCTAATCACCAGTTATGATAATTTTGAAAGAAAACCACCAACTCTAGCCATTCAGAATTCAAGAAAGAATCGACAAAAAAAGGTTTACTAATTAAAAGCCATTATATGTTTTCTTGCACAAGAATGACATCATAGAACAAGTTTAGTGTCAGGTTTTCGTAGACGTTCCCACGCTTCCATTTCACAATCTCGGGGGAAGGGGGGGTGTGAAGGGTATGGTTACACGCAGGCTACCATAAGTACTTTAGATCATTCTTTTACAGACCTTACTAATTTCTGTGGTATGCGAATATGCTCTGGATTTGACTTTCACTACTTAGCGACTTAATTCAAACTGTTAAATAGTACCTCGATGGATGAATGTTTATGTCTGCCATTGGCACACCATTTCGTCACCACCACCCCCCTCTCTGACGATTTATCCCCACTCCGTCACCTGAACCCACCAAACCCCCCACATAAAAAATCCCACCCATCCCCATCAGACCCCTCACCAACTCATCACCACCACATTAAATTATCCCAAACTTGAGGTGGCTCCAAAGATCCCCAAACCTCCATCACTTATTTTTGTCAAAGCATTGCAAAAAGAGCGATTGGAGGAATTATGAACTATGGGTGGGTTTACATGCTGGAAATGGAGCTTCGCTATTAGTGGGAATATGGTGAAGAGAAAACAAGAATGACTTAGTTGAATGAAAAGCGCTCGTTGATACCGCATGGATTAAGAGTGCCGATTTGAAAGATGATTTTTATTCTAGAGTTTTGCGGCTTATTGAACTGCCTGTAGTTGGGGAAAGGCCGCAAACTGCCACACCTTCTTCACAGTTCTCAGACTTTGTCGTTTATGTAGTGACGACTCTGATTTCTCCGAATAATCAGAGACAATGTGCCAATTTTTGATCGATAAACGTGGTTATTCTGTTTCTGTCATTCAAACAGGCCACCACTGCGCCTAACAAATTGATCGACAGTCAGCACTACAAACGGCTGCGAAGGAAAATACTGATCGCATCCCATTCACTCTCACATTTCACCCTCACAACCAAGCAGTTAAATCTATCATTCTTTAAAAACTTTAAATTACTAATTCGCTAAATTACTCATTCGCTAATTTCATTCAAACGTGACAAAAACGGCATAGGCAACTTTTTGGTCAGAGGTTCATTTCAAACCAATGACCAACCTGGTGCAAAACTTGTCCGCGCCGTAGAATGAAATGACGAGGACGTATCCGAAGCAATCGCTAGACACTTAAATCTCCCTTATCATTCTAAACAGCATATGGCGGTTTGCGGCCTTTCTCCGCATCTAGACAGTTCGGGAAGCCGCAAAACACTAGAATAAATTTTTATCTGTAAAATCGGCACTGTTAATCCCCACGGTATCAAAGAGCACCTTTCATTGAACTAAGTTATTCTTAAACGACTGTGAATATATGAAAGTCATATATTTGAACTGCGGATAAAGGCGTGAATATGCCTTTCTCCGCATCTAGACAGTTCGGGAAGCCGCAAAACACTAGAATAAATTTTTATCTGTAAAATCGGCACTGTTAATCCCCACGGTATCAAAGAGCACCTTTCATTGAACTAAGTTATTCTTAAACGACTGTGAATATATGAAAGTCATATATTTGAACTGCGGATAAAGGCGTGAATATGAAAGCGATCTTCGCAGTAACGAACACTACTTGAGCAGTGGTGAAAATAAGGCCTGAATAGCGTAGCTCCATTTTCAGCATATAAACCCACATACAACTCACAATTCCTCCAATCGCCATACCGATGTGTCGCTGAAAACAGCTTTAGAAATAATACCTCATATGCAGCCACACTGGAGGTGCAATGTAAGCAAATTGTATTTTCTAAAATATTGAGGAGCTGTAGCTCTCTAACTTCCCGTTGTGCTTTGTGCTTTTCCACAAAAACTAGTGATTATTCAGTGCTCTAAACAAATTGAGATTGCATTTTCATAACCACTGGCAAGTTCCAAGAAAAGAACATTCTATTTCAATTTGTTTATCGATGTTTGGAATCTTTTCCTTCTTGTGCTTGGTTTACCTTTTTGCACGTCAAATGGTAAAGGCTCGCTCACACAGTTGACTTGCAAGGAGTATTTGGAGTATATTTTGAATCACGACGGAAAAATTAATTAAATCACTCATTTTTTTAAGGATTGAAATATCGCTTGAAAGAGCACACAATAGACAGACGTAAAAGGAATCGATTGACGTGATTTCTATCGACGAATGTCTGTTCATGTACTTTGTTCATTTTTTAGAATTTGTAAAGTTTTTCGTTAACCCAGTTAGGCTGCAGGCTTTGAGATTCCTCAAGAAATTTATTGATACTAGTTTTTGTGTTTACTGTATATATTGCTAATGTGCAAGTTGTCCACGAGCTTGTAGTTTTCAGAATTTACTGACCTTACGAAACATTGGCTTTTGATAGCTGCCCGAAATTTACTCGTGATATTTCCATTAATATCCCCTCTTGAGATATTGATCATATCCGATTGTAAAACCTCTGACCGCAGACCGCAAAGCTGCTGTTGTCATAAAGATAATTCTGTTTGTTTTCAAAAAGAATAGCGACTCTTAGATATGGAATGTTTTGTTTGTTTTGCCTATAGATAATAAGAAAGTTAGTCACTGGGAACATATTACGATAACTGCGAACCAATGTTTACTCTCTCTTTGTTACAGTTTCGACTGAAACATTTCACCACGTAACTCAAGACGAACGTTTCCATTTGGGTAACGTGATATAGCGATAAATTATTCCACTTGGAGTCTGCGACCTCAGTACATAAAACTCCCTGACTGTCTGTAATCAGAAGCATTCGCCTATCTTGTGTACTTCGCCGTACAAATTTCAAAATCAAGAGAGTCCTAAGTGACTTAGTATCGTCTCTTTTTATATTCTGAGTTACTGAATATTAATGATCGGCCTTGACCTCAAAAATTTTGTCGATTTGATTGACTCGTCATGTCTGTCAATTTGCCTATAATCGGTTGCTTGGCAAATTTGCATACCATTGCATTTAAATTTGCCCAAAACGATAAATTGACTATGCTCTTTAAACGGAAGGAACACGCGACAGTTTGATGCTGAAATGGTTGTTAGAATAGCTTTCCTTCTTTTAATTGCTGTACCTCTTACACATCAAGGTTAGTTGCCCCAGCTATGGGAGTACATTCTAGTTTGTCAGTTCAGGCTGTGACACGTCCGTGTCGAAGTGATATGCAAACATACAAGATCTCTAGATTTTAGGCCTTACCAGCCAATCCAGGGCACTTTTTTAATCTCTTATATATGTAAGTTTATAATGCCAGCTCATTTTCGACCGATATCAGTTTCAATTAACAAGTTTTCCTTGATTTATGACAAAACTTCCGGGTGCTCTGTGAGCTTACACTTGTCCCGCGATTAAGTGAATTTGTTTTATGCAAAGACGTGTGTTAAGTTTCCTTTGCGCCTCTGGTTTATTCGATTTGCTCTTCATAAATCGAAAGACGATAATTTGCACTCAAGCAGTGAGCTAAGCGAGATCGATTAGTTAATACGTTTGAAAGGGGCTCGTCTCAGCTTCAGGTTTTCACATACATTCGAATCATAACAAACAATTAATTCGACTTATGATAGTTAGGTATATTCAATCTAAATTCTTAAGCAAAAAGTGGAGTAAAAATTGAGAATTGTTAACAAGTTGAATCAGGCATATTTTATTGTTTGGTGTAACTAGAGCTCAGCTGTTCACGATTGAATGACCCCAAGGAATTTTGAATTTCAGCTCTTACGGATGATGAAGTTTGTCAATTTTTTTTACCTCAAAGGCTGGCTTTTTCTGTTGAAAACTATTATAGGGCAGTTATTAAGGGTAAGAGAACTTTCCTTAATGAATTGGTAAATCTAAAGTTTCTTTTGGAAAGCTTTGGGAAAATTGTGCGTGTCGTTTAAAGCGTAACGCACTTTCAGGGCCTTTCGAAAGTCGTGCGTGGTTCATTCGCCTATTTTCCTCATTGAAACATTCGGTTTTTAATCTTTACCCAACCTTGCTATGTTAAGATTTAGTTTTGATCAACAATCGAAAGCCGTAATTGTAATTGTCACGACTAGTAATTAAGATCTACGGCAAATTGACTTATGCCCTGTTCACACCAATTTAAACAAGTTTCATTAAACGTAGTTTTTTCAAACATGGTTTTATAAAACATGTGTTGCTCAAGAACCGTTCACACTGCAGACTGGGTTAGGTATTACGCAGCCTCGTTTTGATATTAATTGTTGCCAACAAAATTAAAGACGCAATCAAAATGGCGGTCAGTTTAAATCACAATATCCTGCTGTTGTTGGCGCAGTCACGGCTAAGGGAAAACCTCAGAATTACACAAAACCTACAGAGAAACGCAGAGAGACGGTTTAATCGTTATGTCCGTCGGAGACGTCTCGTTTCATCATTGTTTTTTCGTTTTTTGCTTCGATTTCTTCTCCAACATCTTCCTGTTCGCCGTATTTGGCTAAAATCCCGGTCGCAGATATTTTGGGAAGAGACTTGCCAAGATTGGGAAGAAAAGGACTGGAATGAGAATTTTCGCATGTCTAAAGAAGCATTAAATTGCCTTTGCCGAGAACTTTCGCCACATATCTCTAAAAGGGACACTAATTACAGGAAAGCCATTACAGTGCGTCATCGAGTTGCCATAACATTATATTGGCTTGCGGACACGGCTCACTTTCGAACGATCGGAAATCTATTTGGTGTCGGAAAATCCACTGTTTGTGGTATTGTGCGACAGGTATGCGAGGTGATAGTGAACGTTCTTCTTCCCAATTATATAAACGTTCCCCAAAATCAACATGAAGTCCAAGAAAAAATTGAAGGTTTTAAAAGTCGCGCGGGCTTTCCCCAGATTACGCCGTTATCTAACTACCGGTGGTTGCAGCAGTCTCATGTATAAATGAGATTTGAAAAGTAAATTGTCAATTGTGTAAATTAAAATTACTGATGGCAAACTTTGATTGTCTGTGGTATTCTTTGAAACCCCCACATTTTTTTTGTACATTTCAAACCCTGGACACCATCTGAGAACAATTAAAGATGCAGTCATTGCAAGTTTGCCATTTCACATGTGAAATAAACATTAGCACTGAAATTATGCTAAAAAATTAGGGAGTAGTTTGAAACCCATGGTGTGACATATGCTAATTTAGCCATGCATACTACATGTTCACATAAAATACTAATTTGAGTGCAAGACTTGCATCTTCCTCTCTGAGTATTAGATGTAGGCATAAAGAAGGAGGGGGACAATCTCAGCTTTTCGATCAAAGTGTTCAGTTCTGTTGTAAATTTATCAAGGAGACTTAAAAGACATCATTCATATGACCCTCTCTCTCTGAACAACTGATGGAACCTCAGAAACAAATTTCATCAATTTAAAGGTGGATCAAAACTTTATTTCAAATATTAAATCAATTTTTCCAAAAGATCCTAACCACTGTGCACAAAAATATTCATTTCAGTTTCATTAATTTGCCGGAGCATTTTTTAAATACTCTGGGCCAGGTCGTTCAAAGGTGGCTTAACTTAACCCAGGGTTAGTGTGAAATTTGATTTCAAATATGAAAATTTAAAAAGAAATCCATTTTCTTTTTTTTTTTGTCTACAATTTGATGATTAGATAGTCTAAAAGGAATAGGGAAAATTATCCCAAAAAAGACTCCTGAATAAAGAAATGAAGAAGCTGAATCAAAATTTAACCCTGGGTTAGTGTTAATCGGCCTCTCAACAACTAGGCTCTGCCGGAAAATTAAAAATAACACTCAAAGGAAAAAAACGATTTTTATTTTCTCAAAGAATAAAAAAGCATATTCAATTGAAGACAACTATAGAAGACAATTAGTTCAAGTAAAGCAAAGTTAACCAGAGCATGTCAACATCAATGATCTAAGCGTTAATTTCGTTATAGTTTTCTTTTTTTTCTTGCACCTTCTCCAACGACTGGGAATCGGCCATTAGCTTTCGTGAAACATCGTTCAACTTACAGCATAAACAAAGCCGAAAACTAAACCAACTGAAACTGTCGCAAGTACGAGCGCAAATTAAATTGTTGAAGACACGTACTTTTTATTTTCGAAGTACCTGCGCCAATTTCAGTGGAAACTCCTGGTCTTCCTTCCTTCTTCTCTCCTCCCTTTCTTCTTCTTTGTCTTTCGCGAGCCTCCTCTGCGTCAAGAAAACTCCTATCAGCAGCTTGTTGATAGGAAACAAATGCCTCCAACGCCTTGTCAATTTGTGTTGAGGCATTCGTCGTTGACACCTTCCGCTTCTTCGTAGCGGGTTTGAAAAATGGCTTGCCAACATCTGTTGTTCTTTCTGTGAAGGAATACAAGAAATCTTTAAAGGCAGAAGTTAAAGTCGAGAATAAATCATGAATGAATCATGTGGAAGGCTGTTTGAGCCAATACTTATCTCAATATTTTTGTTCAACTCTACTCATCTTGGAAGTAAAATTATCAAGAAATTTTGTTAGAGATTACAGACAACGTAGGCGTCGATATTGAAACATTTTCTTGGCATATTGTCTGACCCCCCAATCAGCGAAAGTTTTTAAAGCTCACCTGTCAAACATTCACCCTTGTTTGGTTGAGGAAATTTGCCGGCTGTTTTGTTGTTGCTGCCGACGCTGGTGCAGCCGTTGAAGGAAGGCAACTCTTCGTTTGGTTCATCGTTCTCAATTTTTTCATTGTCTTCTTCTTCGTTGTCCGCCTCAATGATAATTTTTGAAGAATTTACCACAACCTTCGGTTTGGTACATGGTTTTTTTAAGAGAAATTCATTGACTTCGTCGAAAAACGCCGGCTTCCTCTTTGGAGTCCCGTTTCCGGTCTTCTCGCATTCGTCTTTGTAGGAGCGATACGCACTTACTAATGTGTGTACTCTTGTTTTGCAGGCATCTTCATCACGGTCTTCGTAGCCTGCCGCTCGAATAAAATCACTTATTTCTTGCCATATAGGCCTCTTTCTGGTACAAGATATTAACTTCATTTGTATATTTTCGTCCCCCCACTTCTGTAGTAACAATAACGTTTCCTGATTTTCCCAAATCCTTCCGCAGGTTTTTTTGGCAACCGCCATCTTTAATGTGTTTAGTTAAACACGAAAGTTAAACAACCTCATTTCGGTAGTTTTATTAAACACGGTTTTAAACATGTTTGGCTACACGCGCCCGCGGTATGAACAGGTATTTTAATAAAACCAGTTTAGTAAAACAAGATTTAAACATGTTTAAGCTTTGGTGTGAACGGGGTATTAGACATGACCGTGACGTATGCGATAAGTACAGCAGTTTCGTTTTTGTCTTTTTATTTTTTGTCATTCTTTTATGCTGTGTAATTTATTCATTTAAATGCTTTCTGCAATATCCGATGAATTTCACTGAGCAACATTCGGTAAACTTTCCAGATCCTTTCACTGCTAGAGTTGATCAACCTGTACTCTCTCTCCTTACAAATCAACACGTCTTCAAATGACTAGATGATAAAACTTAAGGAAATAATGAACTGGAGCTAAGATTATTACATAAGTAGGTAGAAAGCACCCAGTAAAGAGAATGTTTATTTGGATATTGAACGTGAAATGATTTAGACGCCTAGACAACTGCAAATGCAAAGGCAATCGAGCGTGAAGGAGATGCAAAATATGCCACTTTGATTTGTGTAAACTTCCCGTGGGTCTACTTAAGGCACTGTCACGCTATTTAAACTCATTTATTTTTTAAGAGGGCGGAAAAGGAAACAAGAAGATATCAAAATAGAGAGGCTAACCACGACTATTACGCTAAAACGGCAAAACCTGAACTTCTTGCAAGCTGCTTGCTTTCACTGTTTGTATATTTGAGTTAATTTATCTAAATTACATGTAGACGGACATTTTTCATAATTTTGCTATTATTTTGTTAAAGAAATGAAAAGCACAGTGGGAAAACTTTAAGTTTTTTTTTTACTGCTCTCCTTTGCCGGCAATTATTGAACCCACTGCCCGTTCCCTAAATGTGCGTTTTCAATTTTTAGGCACGAACGTGAGATAAATATCAAGTGTTTGATGATCAAATCAGCTGTGTTGCACTTTTAAACCTCTGAATAATGCCTTGATTTTATGGAGAGAGGTTACATGCTTGTCACTTCTAGGAGTTAAAGGGTTAAATAACAAAGTGAGTCATTCATTTTAATTCGAATATGAAAGATTTTTACTACACTATCATTTATGGGAGGAAAACAGGGAACTCGTTTATTATGAGCTGGCGAGTCTGTGGTCGAGTCACGAGATTTAATTTAATTTTTCGGATCAAAACTCAAAGACTCCAGAGGCCTCTGTTGTTTCTTTCCCAGCCTTTTGATTCCTGCTCACCCTGTGAATTGAATAATGAAGTGACATTTTGAATCTTTGATTTCATACCACCGTAGTCTCCATCGCTGGCGTTTGTTCACTCAAAAGAACAACAGCTTTGAAAAACATCACTTTGACCTAAGAGTTTGATTTGAATTTCAGATGAGCCCGAAGTTGCAATTGATGGTAACCAAGAGCAGTTTATAGCTAAAGGCGAGAGCTTCACGTTGATCTGTCGGTATAACGCTTCACCGCCTGTGTCTGAGGTGCAGTGGATAAAAGATGGAAATGTGATTACCATAAATGCCACTGTGACTAACAATGGATCAAGAGTTACTAACATCTTTTATAATGAAAGTCTATCACAGCTTTCAATCACCTCAGCTTCCTCACAGGATTCTGGAAATTACATCTGCAATGTTACAAATAATGTAAATGGTACAACAGATTCGACTTTGATTGTTATTCAAGGTATGTATACGATGTCCATTACTTTCTGTACAACATATCTGCGGCATTATTTCTCTCAATGTTCCTGGTTAAATTTTTTTGTTAGTTTAAAATCTTATCCTGTGGAAGAAAAAGCCAACCCAGCAGTTCTATGTAAACACAATTACACGAATTTATTTTTGCCACAAAAAAATTCTCTCGTCAAAATGAGCATCAAATCTTTATGGTCACGGAGCCTTTTAGTCGTGTAAAATCATATTCTTTTGTAACCCCTCTACTTCAATTTGACTCAGAAAATAGCATATATCGAGTCTTTGTGGCAAACACTTTGTAAAATGTCGCACTGATGTTAAAATAGTGGCATCTTTATTATTGGTTTATTCTCCTGCGAAAAGATATAGTGTTTTACATTCCTATATTTCAGACCCCAACTAGTTCTTAGTTATGTGCTTAGGAACCAGCTCAAGAACACCTATTTAAACTGTTTGGATACGGAAAAAAACGAATGATAGACAAACTTCATAAGTTTAAAATACTTTCTTGCATTTCTACAGTGACACCTGCTATCGAGACGCACCCACAAGCTGATCCGGTCAAAGAAGGAGAGAACTTGACTTTCTTTTGCAACGCTACTGGAAGCTCTTTGACAATATCATGGACGAAAAATGTATCTTCTATAAATCCAAATGAAGATGTACGGATCCGTTTGTCAACAGACAAAGAGCATTTGACAATAAGGAATGTGAGCAGGAAAGACAACGGAGCATACCGATGTGTGGCGAGCAACAAGGTTGGAAATGCTACCTCCAATGCTGCCATAGTGACTGTCCGATGTGAGTTCAACTATGGTTTACGACACGACTAAAAAATATGGATCGATCAAAATATAAATAGTTGTATACTTAAAATTCATTGTTGGTAAAGAATGTTTAGGAAAGTCGGTTTCATTTTCTTTCTTATGTGATACAGCGCTCTAACCACCATGTCGCACTACATTTAGTAAATTATGTCTGATTTTGTAGGAAACATAATTTATTTTTCATTATTTATATTGATAGTTGCCCCTGAAATCTCCCAATCTCCAAGGGATACCACGGAAGTGGAAGGACAAACTGCCGAGTTCAATTGCGTAGTAGCAGGGTACCCTAAACCCGATGTTGCTTGGGAAAAAAATGGAGTGGAATTGAATGTGGCTAAACATGCGCGACTTAGAGTCTCTTCCAATGATGGAAACCACCGATTGATCATATCAAATGTTCAACAATCGGATGCAGGACAATACAAATGTGTTGCTAATAACAGTTTGGATACTGTGAATTCATCTTCAGCAACCCTAACAGTACATTGTAAGTCTAACAGTAGTTTTTCTGTGAAACGTGCGAGTGTGGAATATTCTTTTATTTGGTTTGTTGGTTGGTTTTTTTTTTTCTAAGTGTTGTCCATAAGTAATTCAGGTTATTATTTTTACAAACCCTACAAATCTTTGTGGTTTGCGAATTTGCTCTGGATTTGTCTTTAACTACTCAGTTAGTTAATTTAAAAAGTTATTTTGTACTTCGATGGATGAATGTAGATGTTGGCCACTGGCGCCAATACACCAATATTATCCACTGAAATTTTACTCTGTAATTGACATATTTTCTCTCTTTGCTGCTCCATTTCTTGTTCTTGTTCCTTCATAAACCTTTCAGTCCACATGTATATTATTTTCACAAATTCGGCATTATCCAGAAAACCTCTTATTAGAATTTGCAGACTCATAACTTCTAGTGTATGATTTTCATATGATACCAATTATGCTCGGAAAGTTATATCATCTATACACATAAGATAAAAAATAAATAAATAAAAGCCCATGATGATGATACAATCACAATCATTAAATTACATTTTAGTTGATCCAGAAGTTACAATTGATGGTGATAAAGAGAAGATTGTGGCTAAGGGCGACGATATCAAGGTAACATGTCGGCACAAGGCCCTACCGCCTGTGACTGAGGTGCAATGGATAAAAGATGGAGAGGTGATTTCAACAAACTCCACGAAAGTGATCAACAACTCCCGATTGAGTATTCTGCACTTCAATGAGAGCCTCATGCAGTTGTCGATCAGCACAGCTATTGTGGCTGATAGTGGGAATTACACTTGCAATGTTACAAATATGGTTAACAGTTCATCAGACTCGACATCTATCATTGTCGAAGGTGTGTAAGAGCTGTTGACAAATTCTCATTAACCCGTGTTTTAGGGTAGGACAGCCATAAGCTGGGATTTCTCCACACAGACGTCGAAGAAATGAACACAGTTTTTAAGGTCTAATTAAAAGAAATGTGAGATCACCGGATACCGAGAGCAAGATTTCGCTCGAGGCTCTAGGGCTGTCTATAAAGTGCATATTAAAGAGATAGGCAGCTGTGTACGCAGGTGTGCGCAGGAATTCCGAGTTACTTTATTGGTAACGGGGACTTCTTGATGTGTGCTGGGACATCCCAATTTTTAATGAGATAGATGATAAGCTACTCTCAGAGACGGTTACAACCTACTGGAATTACCAATAATCATTGCCTGTAACCGTTTCCGTTGCCCATAAACTTTTAAACATTTTTAAGATGAAGGATGTTTTTTTTCTTCTATTCTGTGTGACAAATTGTAATTTATCCCAGCACCGGGCCATGGGTGAATATACATAATGTACACCTTAGAAAAGTAAAATAATTTCCTTTAGGTTTGATCAGAGCAGAAATGTTACTATTTATTTTTATTTTTTCAGGGTTGCATAATCTTAAAGCACCTCGTGACTTCCTATGAAGTCTATGAGAAATTTCGTCAACGATTAATTTAGCGGAAATGTAGACTGTTTACAACATTGAAAACATAGTGGAGTGCTTCAGACTTAGTTTCTTTTCTGTTTTCCCTAATACAGTAAAGCCTTCCATCATTACTCAGCCAAAAAGTGCTGCCCCTGAAGAAGGAGACACCGTCAAGTTGTATTGCAACGCTACAGGAAGCCCTATACTGCACATATCCTGGACGTTTGATGGATCTGTTATAGCAGCAAATGAGAACTCCAGGATCAGTTTGTCCAACGACTCTCAAGAATTGACAATAACAAGTGTGAAAAGAGGAGACAGAGGAGATTACCGATGTTTAGTGAAAAACAGGGTCGGAAATGACACTTCTGACCCCTCTGTGATAAACGTGCTTTGTAAGTACGGAATAAGTTTGCTTTTCTAAGTCATGAAATCGCACTATAGTCGAGCTATACCCAATCTCAAAGACCTAACTTTTTTTAGCGTTATCGATAAGGTATAGACCAACTTCGGGTCAAGAGAAATGTAGTTGAACGAAAAAAATTAAATAAATAAACAGAATTGGGTGTAATAGAAATTTCCGGGTTGTGTTACAACATTCTAAAATAGGGGTCCAAACAGTCCCTCGTAATCCTAGAGATGGAAAGACAATTACCTGCATTACCTATTACAAATCAGATACGTTGCCTTTAGAAGCCAGATAGGGCCTGATTCTGTTTGAGTGAACGACAAGCTGTTCCTAGTTTACCCATTAAATAAGATAGATCTCTTAAATAAGATATATTTCTCTCAGGAATGTATGAACGAACTGGCAGAAGAAGAGAGTGGGCTTTTCTAGAAATTCTTTGGAATTCTCTTGCTTAAAGGAACGTTTAGCGATTTATTTGTCACAAAAAAAAAAGGAATGAAAAAATTATTTGATCGATTGTAGAACTGCTTAAGGTTATGCTTCTGGTTTATTTATCTATTCATTTTAGTGATAATTTTTTTTTTATAGATCGGCCTGAAATTATTACGCATCCTAAGAACTTTACAATAGAAGAAGGACTCCCCATGACCTTATTTTGTAACGCGACCGGAAATCCAACACCAACACTATCATGGACCAAAGATGGATCTCCTTTAAATGACGCCCAAGGGATAACTTTTTCAGGAGACAACAAGACACTGTTTATAGCGAGTATTAACAGATCGGAAAGCGGAAATTACAGATGTGTTGCCAAGAACGGCCTTGGAAATGATCTCTCAAATCCTGCAAAAGTCGACGTACAGTGTAAGTGCTCCAGTAATTCTTTTCTGTTTTACCTAATTTGGAAGGAGAAATTCTGTACAGTTAATAGGATTTAAAAGGTATTTGGCACAAATGAATGTGAAGGGGGAAGCAGCGATGGGTTCCGCGGAGTTGAAAGCAACAACCCTAGGAATCACCATTCAAATCTTAAACTGAGTTAATGTCAAGTATAAATCAGACATTTTTTTATACCACAAACGTTTACTCATGAGAACTGAACACTAAGAAAATTTATGATGCCATTGGTGTCGCAACTTATGCAAAAAAACAAAATGTTTATCTTTGTGTTTCGAATTTTTCACAAAAATTTTGCAAACTTTGAAAATGGAAATTAGTTGTCCAGGACCGAAAGTTGAATGTACGCGCCCAGTATTCGTAAACACATATCTGGCTTGTTATTTCAATTCCCTGTTGCGTAATTTTTTTTCTCGTTTGGTCCCGTATTTGGGTAATTTCCGGCAATTTTCTTAGTCGGTTGTAGTGCCATCAATCTTGTCAGCTTCATCTGAATGTCGACAAGGACGGCATAGATGTTAAAACTTTTCGTTAAACATCGCCCATTATCACTAATGACAAAGCATTCCTAGGTCCTAGCAGAAATAACAAATCACGTTTTCTCATTTATCGTTAGTTAGATGATGAAATATACACAGGATAAGTATGAAAAAAAGAGTACTAAGAATTGAAATAACCCTATAGTCTTTCACTGGTAAAAAGTCATGTTTTGAAAAAACTAAAAAAATGGAAAAAATGACGAGGACTTTGAGATATGCAAAGGAATAAGCCGGTAGCTTGTGATATTCACTGATTTGAGTTAACAGAGCGTAACACTTATGTTTTTAAATTCCAAGTTGCACCTGAAATCGTGGAAAATCCGAAGGATGTCACCATAGTTGAGGGAGAAGATGTTGTGTTTAGTTGCACGGTAGATGGAAATCCTTCACCAAGAGTCACTTGGACGAAGAACGAGGAAAAACTGAACACAACAACAAATCTACAACTAACAGCGTCGTCACTGAACAACAATAACAGTTTGACAATCAGAGATGTTCATCGATCGGATTCGGGACAATACAGATGTGTGATTATTAATAGTGTTGGCAACATAACATCATCTCCAGGAGATCTAAATGTACAATGTAAGTAACTTACAAAATCCCTTTATCGTTAAAAATAACTACAGTTGGTTTGGATCAGTTGTTTTTAAAACGTAATTGTTTTGGTATTTCAACCTCTTCACATTAGTGAAAACACAAAGGAGTTGCTATTTTTTACGTCACGCACGTTCTCGAATTTTCTTTGTGATGATATTGCTTTTGTAACCTTAGAAATGATTAACAGAGCTTAGCCATTTTTTGGCTGATTCTTTCTTCTTCCTCCTTTAATAAGAAAAAAAATCCCCGACTATTGCGACTTACGGAAGTCGAAAGCGGTCTTTTTTAAAAGAGGAAAGACAATTTTTGACTTGTATGGTAATATAGAGCAGACAAGTTTATTATTAGTTATTTCAAGGTCGTGACCTAATCAACCGCAGCAAAATTCTCAGTGGATCTTCTTAGGGGGGTAGGGTACGATCAAATATTCTAAACAGCGGCTTCGATCGTACTGTGCTTCCTAACTATGGACGAATTTCAAGCCGGAACTTTTACGTTCAGAGAACGTCTCTATCATTGGTTCTTCGTCATTCTGCTGTTAGTGTCTTATTCATCAGGCCAAGGAGGTAAAAGTGATTTTTCTTCTTTTGAAGACAGAAGTGTTTGTAAGATTTGGAAGCGGAAATCATTTACGTTGACTTAACCTATTCTGTGTACGAGGTGTTTGCTCCGGCCGCGCATTGAATTTTCGCGTTAAATACTAACGTAATGATGGGAATTAGTTCTCTTATGTGTGAGAGAAGAAGCTTTTTAAGTTAAATTTATTGAAATGCAAAGTTTTGGTCGATTTTCTTCGGCATAATATTTCGATATTGCAATTTAATTCGAATGTTTCGTTTTTCTTGTGTAATTATGGCTTCGACATAAATCCGCTTCAACAAAGTTTAATCGAATTCGTTGCTTTACTCACCAAACGTAAACTTCGTTTGCATAACGGAGATACCAAAAAATTTCGCAAACTTTAGTACATACAAGCTTATTTTACACACAGGTGCCAGTTAAACACCAATTATGACTCGAAAGTATTTCGAATATTTTTAAACTATTTGCACTTCCTCTTGATTTGGGTTACGCATATGTTACGTGGATAATTTTCCTCGATGGGACGTGACTGGTGACTTTATTTTGAAAATATAAGTTGCCATCGAGCGTTGGTGTTCTGAAACAACTATATTTAGCGGCTGGTTTGTTTATAAACGACCTTGGAACACGCAACGCAAATTGGAACTGTTTCTCGTTCATAGTTCCACTGTCAAGTTGAGGAAGTTATTATCTGTAGTTGTTCTGTCTTTCCTCTCAAAGCGCTAGATTTAATAGCAGCACTGTATACCCTTTAACTGATAGACTGGGGAACGATCACCCAGTTGTCTGACAGCCTGAGTGTCTGTCACCGTCATTTACTTGGCAATATTCATCATCATGCAGTTGGTCGGTAATGGCTTTCAAAAGATGGCCAGAAGTCGGTAAAAATCAGAAATTGTTAGTTTTTTCACCTCTCCACAACAATTCTTTAGCCTCTTGATGCCAAAATGGTAGTTTAGTTCGAACAGTACAAGCTCAATTCTCTTTGGAATGGATCACTTTTAAAGATTGTAAACTTGGCAACTGTTCATACACTGAGTTAGTGAGTTAATTATCAATCCTCAATGTCTGTGATGTTGTGAGAAATCACTTTGTAATAAGTTCAAAAAAGATCAGCACCAAGTTTTTATTTTTGTATTCTAAAATTGTCTTTTCAATGTAGTAGTGCTTGTTGAGAGAAAATTAAGTACATGATTTTCATAACTCTCTTTTGCTAATTAATTTGTTATTAACATTTATGTGCCTGTGCCTGTGCTCATATCAGCTATACACTGGTAGGTGAGGATATTTTCATTGAGATCAAAAATGGTGGTCCTTGTGCAAGCTTTTTGATTCTTAATCACAACAGCTAATCAACAGTCCAACAGAGTTGTGAAAACTTGTCTTGATCTGAAATAGATTTTAACTTTTAACAGTTTGAGATTTTTCTGTCTCGATACAATAACAATCTCTGGAGAACACTGTAAAAGGCTTTGTTAACCCTTTAACCCCTAAGATTGACCAGCATCTAATTTCTCCTTACAATATTACCCTTGAATCAAACATTAAGGTCATGAGAATAAAGAGGAAATGATCAACAACAGAAGCAGCTCTTGATTATCAAACAAATTCTCTTTGTCAGCACCTTGGGAAACGTACAGTGAATAGCGTGGAGAATATGTATACTGATGTTAGGGGGTAAAGGGTTAAAGCCTAATACTATGAGGGGAACAAATGGAGGTACAGGAGGGGAGGGGGGGAGAAAGGGGAGGGCCTGGATCCTGTTGCATGTACAAATTTTAGAATTTTTCAAGTGTTATCTATACTTTAAACAGTGTTTAGTGCAATACATCACTTCAAATCAAATTGCTTTGGAATTCATGCAATAGGTATTAATTTTGGGTATGCTAACATGTCAGATATAAACCCTTTACCACCCTCTACTCTCTTGCCACTAGTGATGAAACACAATTTAATGCACTTGTAACTTAGGATCATTACACTTGTACAAATAAGACTGGTCAGTCTATAAAAACAAGGTGTTTATTGGTTGTCGTCCAACCTATCATGAATTATATAACTGCAAGGTCACTTTATTCCTTCAAAGAAAGAGCTGAAGGCCATATATCGCAAAAAAATTAGGAGAGGTTATTAAAATAAGTGAAGACTGGAAAGAAAAGTTTCCATGGAGGTAGGCTCAAACCACAAAGGCTGACCTTTACAAGAGATCACCATATGAAGGAATCCTAGATGAAACTAAGCCATTTCTCTGGATGAAGCTGAAATAAATTTAAATCAGTATTTAGTTATAAGTATTTTCATGGCCTTATTGAATGCTACACTTACTATATATATCAAAATTTCCTTATTATACTCAGACATCTTCTCTTTTATCCAGTTCCTCCTGAATTTATCAGCAGCCCACAGAATGTGACAGTAATAGAAGAGCAAAATGCTAACTTAACTCTGAACTGCACAGTTTATGGAAATCCTACGCCAGATGTGAAATGGACTAAAGATGGAATTGATATATCAGAAAATCAAAGGATTATTGTTTCTGACTTTAAGGGAAACACTTCAAGTTTGACAATTACCAATATTGTGCGAGGAGATGAAGGCCAATATAGATGTGTGGCAAATAACAGTGTAAATACCACTATTTCAGCTCCAGGAAAACTGACAGTCAACTGTGAGTATTATTTTTCAGACTGAATTGCAAATATATGAGATCTTTATGTCAAAGCATGCTTACTAGTATTGGTTAGGTGAAATCTTTGGTAAGTCAGCACATCAGGTACCTGAGACCCTTATACATATAAGTGTCTGCTCAGAAGACACCCAAAGGAACTTGTAGTATCTGCTTGATATTGTTCACAGTGTCTGCTAAGTGATTAACATGTAACTTCTCCCTTCAGTATGAATATGTTATTCAACAAATAAGTTTATAAGAGAAAACTAATACTTATTGGCAGAAGTTTTTATCTTGATCTAAAACCAAATTCTTGCAACCACATGTAATTTACAAAGAACTGTGTTGCAGCCAGAAGGGAGAATTAAGAAACAGATGTTGGGAGTTAAAGAGTTATTGCAGGTTTTAAGTGCACATGTACTCAACAGAGGTTGTATTGCCATTCTGTCACCTTAACCACATAACCTTTTGTTTTGGGCATGTCATGTGTTAACACAAGGATTTGAGAACAAGGACCTAAACTAAAATTTCACTTTGAAATGTTTTGAAATTTTGTGTGACAAATTGATGTCTCATGAGCCAATCTGATGCAAGCATTGTGCAAGACTGGTAACAAACCACTTCTCAATTTGCTTTGCTTTTGTTGCATTATATGACATGCATTTTAGATAAAACATTTGGATGATATAGGTAGATAACCTAAAGCGTGGTTTGATTTGGTGTTTTTCCTTGTGGGCTCATCAATATACATTTACAAACAATAATTAGAAATACATAAGGATACTACACACCAAATTGTTCAATAATAATTATATGACATAATTCAAAGAAATATTTCAAATAGTGTTCACATTTTGTGGTGACTAACTTGAACAATCCTTATGATTACAGTTAGAGCAGATGTCAAAATCAGTGGCAGTGAAGAAAAGTATGTTGAAATAAACAAACAGATCTACCTGATGTGCCAGTATAATGCTTCGCCACCAGTGACAGAGGTACAATGGGTTAAAGATGGAAGTGTGATAGCTAGGAATGATAGTGGAATTGGTAATGGATTGGTGAATATTACAGAATTCACTGAAAGTCAATCACACCTTTTAATATCATCAAGTACAAGGAATGACGAGGGAAATTACACCTGCTTTGTCACAAATGCTGTCGGCAATTCCTCAGATATAACTTCAGTTCTTATACAAGGTATGTCTTTCTCAATGATGTATATTATAAATTATGATATTTTGTACTATTATTTGATCTCATCACTGTGTACAGTATTTTATGCAGATTCTCCTCTCTTTAGGATGGTTGTTTAGAGTCCAGTTAACTCCCATGATCTGATTGTTAATTCTTCCCTCTAGCTGCTACACATTTCCTTGTAAAGTAACTGGGAGAATTTGGTGTTAGATCAAGATAACAACTTTTCCCCAATAAGTTTGAGTATTCTCATTACCTGCTTGCTGGATTACATATGGTTATTATAGGGAGAAGTAACATGTTAATCACATCTGGGAGTTAAACGGTGAATGGCTTCTTTTTTTTTTATTAACTTTGTTGACTTATTTTGAAACTGGTTTCATTTGCATTTTTTTTTATTTTTAAAACTTCTCAAGGTGGAAATTCAGCTCCAAGCTCAAATGTCTTTAACCCTTCACACCTTAACATCAGTATGCACATTCTCCATACTGTTCTCTATACATTTCCTATTGGCACTGACAAGGAGAATTTCCCTAATGAATGAAAGCTTCTTCTTTCCCTTGTTCTTGTTACCTTATTGTGTGATTAAGGGATAATAAAATTATATGGAGGAATTAGATTACAATCACTCTTACTGGTTAGAGGGATAAAGGACAGCCTAAACTTCTGAAAGGGTTCTTTTCCCCTTCTTCTCCCCCCTTAAGAAAAAAAAGAAGGTAAATTCTGCCAGTAAACAGAGAAAAACCAAAAAAACGTGGACAAGCAACAGCACATCTCACACACAGTGTCACATCAGTAACTATAATGTGATCTATGATCTAATTTTTTAAAAGGTAAATTAACCTGACTTGGAAAAAAACAAAAAAATATTAATAACTGCAGCTATACATGAACTATGTCTGTATATGAGTCTCTTTTATATCTTTTAACCATAGTTACACCAAGTAATGTACACATTATGGCATTCTTTGTGTTGGCACAACTCAGGTTCTCAACTAAGCCACATTTGTTTTTTATCCAAATAATTAAGGGAGATGAGTTCACTGTTCATGTATCATTAACGTAGAACTTGTTCATTGTAGAACATTTCTAAAACTCTTCATCTATTTGAGTGGTAAAATGAATACTAAAGTGTTGTTTAATTCCACAGTGGTACCATACCCACCACATACATTGACGGTCGATTTTATGGGCTCTCGGGTGGTGAATATCTCTTGGACAGCTGGTTTTGATGGAAATAGTGCGATTCAGAACTACACAGTGGAGATCGGTGAAGATAATCAGATCTTTCAGGGTGTTGTTTGTCAGGGATCACTCTCAAGTGGTGCCTGTGTGGTGTCCTCCACAAAAGCCTCTCTAACCGGTCTTCTTCCTTGGACAACATATAACATTAGAGTGTTTGCGACAAACGCAATTGGCAAAAGTAACAGCAGCCAAATTCTGACTGTTATCACAGATGAAGAAGGTACATGTGTGCTACTTACCCTCTGCATTTCTTCGCCTAGTATAGAAAGAACCACATAGATATTACAGTCACCTGAGTATTATGGCAGGAGATAAATTTGTACAACAAACTTGAACGAGAATCTTATTGTGTATTAACTGTGAAAGTTTTGCAAGCAGTAGCGAGCAAGCACTAGTTTAGATACTTTTGCGAGGAAATCAAGCACAAACAAGTCTGCTTCAACTTTTATTTGTTATATAATGACATACTAAAAGAGATGTATTTTTTAATTCACTTTTACAGTGCCAAGTGAAGCTCCGACTTTTGATGTGATTGTTGTCAATTCAACTGCAGTGAATGTTTCTTGGCAGGTAATTACCAGACGTTACATTTATCTCCAAATGATTCTTTTCTTTTAGTATTACAGTGCACATTTTACATCAAGAAGGGAAGAGTTTCAAACCTGATTACTGGTTTACATAACTGTTTTTTTTTAGGACAGCGTTAAAAGATAATTACATGTATGCTGAATTATGCGAAAGTGCGTATGATATATATGACGACACTTTGAATCTTGAATACATCGTTAGTTTTCGAATAACCATACGCGTGTTTGGCTCTCTGCGTGGACTTAAACTAAAAGTCTTTGTATACAGTTTGTAAGACTCTTAGTTAACTTGGGACAGTAGCTTACTTGTACACGTACGTGATGTCATCAACGACATTATTCTCAGTTTCTGTTAAATTCCGTGTTGTTGTGTACCATTTTACGTATACAGATCACTGATGATACGATGTAGCTAGCAAGTACATCGTTGATACCTTCACCTGTGGTTCGTGTGTCGCGTGTTTAGATTACAGCTCTAATTAAATTTTGATGTCCTCTGAGATCCACTTCAGACTACGGAAACACGGACTGTGTTTGTTAAAATAAATTTTTATTAGAAAAAAAAAATCAATAAGTACATGAACTGTTTATGATAGTACAGTACAACATCTGGACGCCCTGAAATATGTGTACGCGTTGCATGTAAGAAGCATTTTCTTTATCAAAATTACGTTTTGTTAACTTTACTACCCAGATACTTAGTAAGGAAAAAGCTAGAGGTGCCATCTTGGGCTATTACGTTTTTTACCGAATTAAAAACACTGCACCTTGGACAAATAAAACTGTTGATAGAGCCGGAGCGACATCGCTGTTGGTGGGATCACTAAATGAACACACTCCATACGAGTTTGCCATGCAGGCGTTTAACGGTAAAGGTGTCAGTAATTTAAGTGCTTTGGTGGAACAGACTACCGACCAGCATAGTGAGTGTTACTTTATTTTATTTATTCAGTTAATTTTTTTCATATATTGCCAATAATTGTTTTTTTGTTTGTTTGTTTTTTTTTTGCTATGATTATAATGATTTGTATAATCTCAGATAATCTTTATGTGCCATATGACCTACAGTGTAGTGTGAGTTGTTGTTAATGGATTGTCCGCAGCCTCCTGTTTCTTTGGTGAGATTTTTCTTTCATTACTGAAGATATAACGAATTGTAGGAGAGATTGGTAACAATGGCAATTGCATGCATTTGTTGTACACCTATTCTAATGACCCTTTTGATAAAGGTGTACCATGCAATTTGAAAAGATTACCAACCGTTCGTTCCTCAGGGTAATTAGATATTATCAACTAATTTAATGACATAAATTGACCTCAGTAAAGAGTTTCAAAGCTAACGTTTCGAGCGTTATCCCTTAGGGTTAAGTGCCTTGACGAAAGGATAACGTTCGAAACGTCTAAAACGTCAAAACGTCAGCTTTGAAACCTTTTACGGTGGCCAATTTACGTTATCAACTCAGTTGATAATACCCAATTACCCTGAGCAAAGGATGAAAACAAAATAAGCTGGGACAGCATTTTGCTAGAACTGAAGATATTATTATTATTATTATTATTATTATTATTATAAAATAATATTTATTATATATTTTATATAAAAAAATTTTTAAATATATTTTTATTTATAATAAAAGTTATAATTTTATTATTATATTATTATAATACCAAATTACCCACAGTTTCTTTTGAAACCTACTCCCTTTATTCGTTTTATAATCAGTTCGCTGCCTGTGAAAAATTGCATCTACAAGACCTTATGATAAATGTTCTTTGCTTTCAGAGCCTAGTGGACCACCACAACGAGTCCAATTTAGCGATGTAACATCTAAACGTGTCACAGTAACCTGGGGTCCTGTCCCTGATGGTGATCGAAATGGAATCATCCTAGGATATAAAGTGAATTATCGAGCCTTACCAAGTGGTGGCAACGTTACCGAACCCGTCAGTATCAAAAGTAATGAACAGGGTGAAGGAGGAACAAAGACTTTAGAGTCTCTGAATGAATTTACAAACTACAGTATTAGTGTGTTAGCGTTCACCAAAGTGGGAAATGGACCACCGAGCGTTGCCAAGTTTGTGAAAACACTGGAGGACAGTAAGTTAAACTAATATTTTCTCTATTGTGTTACTTTAGGTAGAATGTAATACAAAGTGATTAAGAATAAGTCTCTGTAAGAATCAAGCATCTTGGGAAATGAAAATTTTCAACCCCCTCTTCAAATTTTGCATGCAGTTAGGCACTCAGAGGGGATGCACAAAAATGCCCTTTTTAAAGGTCGCAGCACTCTTGTTGCCATGGTAACAACGTCTGCTTGTTCGAACCCTGGGGCCTCATTTTCGTAAAAAAAACGTCGCAAAAAAGAGTGAAATGTTTCTATCTCAAGCTAAATACATCATTGCAAATTGGCACTTCTACCATACATAGTTAAATCATTTGTCTTCACTTTGATACATTCAATTTTTCCCTGGGAGTGAATGTGAACACACTAATAGATTATTTATCTCGATACAGTTTCGGTCATTTTTGTTGTCGGGTAAAACAGGGAAAACTTTTATCTGAATTTCTCCAAAAGTACACCGATTCTGGAACTGAAACTACCCACCTAGCTAGTTATAATATAATATTCTAGTTTTTAAACATGTAAAAATCTCTGCGGGCCTGCCTCTACTTTCCATAGGGGCAATTCGCGAACAAAGCTCAAAAATCAGATATTGCATAATTTGGCGATGTTTACACCTAATGTTCTCAACAACAAATGTTTCAGAAAAATGAAACATGCAAGGCTTTGAAGAATGCTATCTTATGACCAATATCCCGAACAGAAATCTCGCCTCTAGTTGTCATCTTTTAAAAAAAAATTGATCAACCTTCATGGAGGACTACTCGACGTAACTTCAAACATATACCTCAAATCGTGAGCATATCATCCAGATTCCGAGTGCTACACCTTCTTTCATGGGAATTTGAGCGATCCGAAGTCCTCTGAAGAGACACTGTTATACTTGTATGTCATTTAAAACATGTTGAAGTCGGCTGATCTACACGAAACTATCCTCACACCGGTCATTTGTCATAAACATGTACGTTGTTAATATAGCGTGACGCTGTATTTCTCCATGAAGTTTCCATCGGTCGCCCCAAAGAAGACGAGAAATGGACATTTTTCGATATATCAGCAGATTTCAAGTGTCAAAGTGACTGCCCAACTCATTTTAGACATTTTAGTACAAACGTCATCCTTAAAATCGATGGATTTGAATAAAAACAGCAAAAAAAAAGTTTAAGAGAGATATGAGAGAAACGACGTTGGAATCGGCGTGCATTCTCCTTTGATCCTGCTTCGTAGATAATCAGCTCTGAAGGTGAAGCTTATCGCTTCCAAACGCCATTTCGATTATATTTGTACTGAACATCCAGGAGCTCTTTCGCAATTAAATGTTCAGACGCGTGTTAATAGTATTTTTGCGCGACTTTTTGTACATTACGTGTCCTGTAGCGTCTGCTAAAATCGAGGAACCATGCCTCATGGATTACTCGAGATTTGATGTAGTCATGTAAGAAAAAGAAGAAGCTCTACAGGAAAGCAAAAATTTCAGACCGACAAAGGCCTGGGCACGGACCGCACGATAAACAACTTGTCACAATGCTGGAAACTCCTTCCGGAGAAAACACATCAATAAGATCTCTGAAGATCTAAAGATCTCTAGAACCCGAAACCGTTTCAGAGCTACATCTCACCCCCCGGTAAAGGATCAAACAAGTGAATGATGTTACGATGACAGAGAATTTAGATGCTGCCGAAACATGAGAAAACACATCAATAAGATCTCTGAAGATCTAAAGATCTCTAGAACCCGAAACCGTTTCTGAGCTACATCTCACCCCCCAGTAAAGGATCAAACAAGTGAATGATGTTACGATGACAGAGAATTTAGATGCTGCCGAAACATGAATTTTACATGCGAGGATTATGCAAATTTTCCTATGTAAAACAATGTCTTGGATCTCAAAGTGTCAACTATTCTGAGTAATGTGAACGAAATTAGCCAACTTCTTACGAAACTAAACTCGCGAAAGTCCTCCGGTCCTGATCAGCTTTTACTGCGTGTACTGTAGGAATGCGCAGTCGAGTTAGCGCCTTCTCTTGGTTAATTATTAAACAGTTCCCTCCATACTGGCCATGTGTCTTTGTCGTGGAAGTTAACCTATCTTAACTCATACATTTCAGAACCTTCTGCTGCTCCTAAGAACGTGAGCGGACATAACACAAGCTCAACCAGCATCTTTGTTACATGGGATGATGTTCCAGCTGCTGATAAAAATGGTATCATTACGAGTTACAACATCACTTATCACTCACTGACAGAGAATCACAGTAACAGCACAACAGTGGATTTTCCAGCCAATAATGTGACTCTGAGGGGTCTGAGAGAGTTTGTGAACTACAGCATCACAGTGTTTGCTTCCACGGTGAAAGGAAATGGACCTGAAAGCGATCCTGTTATTATCAGTACTGGCGAAGATAGTGAGTTATTTCGCTTTTGGATGGATTTTCTTTGTTGCGTTTTAAAAACTTAGTTCTCATCTCCACACACATTCCAGCCCAAGGCTAGACCTATTATAGGCAGTAGCTATTTTTTTTATATGTACAATAAAAAAAACACTCCTATCCAATTTTTTTCCTACATTTCACTTCAGACCCTTCTGCTCCTCCTGAGAGTGTTAGAGGGCATAACACCAGCTCAACCAGCATCTTAGTTACATGGGGATATGTTCCAGCTTTTGAGAAAAATGGTATCATCACGAGTTACAACATTACGTATAGCTCACTGACAGAAAATGACAGTAACAGCACAACAGTGGATTTTCCAGCCAATAATGTGACTCTGAGGGGTCTGAGAGAGTTTGTGAACTACAGCATCACAGTGTTTGCTTCCACGAAGATAGGTCCTGGACCGGCCAGTGAACGCATTATTGTCAGTACTGGTGAAGATAGTGAGTAATTTCGCTTTTGATTGATGTTTTTCGTTGTATTTCAGAAGCTTGGTTCTTAGCTCTTAACACAGTCCAGTCCAGTGCCAGACCTAATATGGAGGGTAACTTTTTTTCTTATGGACAATAGGTATCGATTATTTTGCTGTTTAGAGCAGTTCTAACCTTATTTATTTTAGAACCATCTGCTGCTCCTTCGGATGTGAAAGGACGTAACACCAGCTCAACCAGCATCTTAGTAGAGTGGGATCATGTTTCAAAGCCCGATCGGAATGGCATCATTACGAGTTACAACATTACCTATCACTCACTGACAGAGAATCACAGTAACAGTACAATAGTGGATTTTCCAGGTCGTCAAGGGACTCTGATTGGTTTGAAAGAGTTTGTTAACTACAGCATCACAGTGTCTGCCTCTACGAAGATAGGACCTGGACCAGCCAGTAACCCCGTAATTGTCAGTACTGGCGAGGATAGTAAGTGATTTTGCTTTTGGTTATATTCGTATGAGTATATTTAGACTCATTGACAATCGAACCAGTTTTTGTAAGGCACTTGGTACCATTCATTTCTTCTAATTCTTAGGATTTAGATTATTTGTAAACTTCTACAATATTTTTATACTTAATAAATTAATTTATTACTTCAAATGAGTACGAAATCAACGTTTTCTGTCAATTCATTCGGGTTATCGATAAGAACAGTTATGCCAAGGGTTCTTGTGTAATGCAAATTTTCTTTGTGCTCTTTCCTTTAATTGTGCAATTTCCACTCGAGTTTAATTGTTCAGGGCGTGAAATTGCGCCTAATACAGGCGCCAATGCGACTAAATTTTTCACTTTGGCGACCAAATCCTGAAAGTTAGTCGCCAAATTGGCGACTAGAACGTTTCATCATAACCTTACCAAGGGATATAGTGAATTAAAAAGATTTGTAAAGATAAATCCGCGGCAAACTTCCTCGTTTAGTTTGTTTCCAAAACGTAGCATATGCATGTCGATCGATAACTAGACGCCATCTTGGATTTAGATGAGCCTGAACGTTGTATATCATCCATCCTAGTGTCCACTTTGTAGCACGTTAAAGATCTTTTCCCTAACTTAATTTTGGAGGGTCTATCTAGAACGCTGACAGCGTAAAGAAAGATTTTGTTTGTCTTTGAAAATGGCGACCAACTTTTTTTGAATTGGCTACCACTTTGAAGAATTTAGGAGCCAAGTCGCTATCAGAAAAAAAAGTTAATTTCACGCCCTGTTGTTCCTTGTATAGAAAGAAATGTCACGTTAAGAGTCATGTGCATAAGCTCTTAGCCTTGAGACTGTTGACTACTCCTTGCGAAAACACTCCTATCCAATTTTTTTCCTACATTTCACTTCAGACCCTTCTGCTCCTCCTGAGAGTGTTAGAGGGCATAACACCAGCTCAACCAGCATCTTAGTTACATGGGGATATGTTCCAGCTTTTGAGAAAAATGGTATCATCACGAGTTACAACATTACGTATAGCTCACTGACAGAAAATGACAGTAACAGCACAACAGTGGATTTTCCAGCCAATAATGTGACTCTGAGGGGTCTGAGAGAGTTTGTGAACTACAGCATCACAGTGTTTGCTTCCACGAAGATAGGTCCTGGACCGGCCAGTGAACGCATTATTGTCAGTACTGGTGAAGATAGTGAGTAATTTCGCTTTTGATTGATGTTTTTCGTTGCATTTCAGAAGCTCGGTTCTTAGCTCTTAACACAGTCCAGTTCAGTGCCAGACCTAATATGGAGGGTAACGTTTTTCTTATGGACAATAGGTATCGATTATTTTGCTGTTTAGAGCAGTTCTAACCTTATTTATTTTAGAACCATCTGCTGCTCCTTCGGATGTGAAAGGACGTAACACCAGCTCAACCAGCATCTTAGTAGAGTGGGATCATGTTTCAAAGCCCGATCGGAATGGCATCATTACGAGTTACAACATTACCTATCACTCACTGACAGAGAATCACAGTAACAGTACAATAGTGGATTTTCCAGGTCGTCAAGGGACTCTGATTGGTTTGAAAGAGTTTGTTAACTACAGCATCACAGTGTCTGCCTCTACGAAGATAGGACCTGGACCAGCCAGTAACCCTGTAATTGTCAGTACTGGCGAGGATAGTAAGTGATTTTGCTTTTGGTTATATTCGTATGAGTATATTTAGACTCATTGACAATCGAACCAGTTTTTGTAAGGCACTTGGTACTATTCATTTCTTCTAATTCTTAGGATTTAGATTATTTGTAAACTTCTACAATATTTTTATACTTAATAAATTAATTTATTACTTCAAATGAGTACGAAATCAACGTTTTCTGTCAATTCATTCGGGTTATCGATAAGAACAGTTATGCCAAGGGTTCTTGTGTAATGCAAATTTTCTTTGTGCTCTTTCCTTTAATTGTGCAATTTCCACTCGAGTTTAATTGTAATGTTCCTTGTATAGAAAGAAATGTCACGTTAAGAGTTATGTGCATAAGCTCTTAGCCTTGAGACTGTTGACTACTCCTTGCGAAAACACTCCTATCCAATTTTTTTCCTACATTTCACTTCAGACCCTTCTGCTCCTCCTGAGAGTGTTAGAGGGCATAACACCAGCTCAACCAGCATCTTAGTTACATGGGGATATGTTCCAGCTTTTGAGAAAAATGGTATCATCACGAGTTACAACATTACGTATAGCTCACTGACAGAAAATGACAGTAACAGCACAACAGTGGATTTTCCAGCCAATAATGTGACTCTGAGGGGTCTGAGAGAGTTTGTGAACTACAGCATCACAGTGTTTGCTTCCACGAAGATAGGTCCTGGACCGGCCAGTGAACGCATTATTGTCAGTACTGGTGAAGATAGTGAGTAATTTCGCTTTTGATTGATGTTTTCGTTGCATTTCAGAAGCTTGGTTCTTAGCTCTTAACACAGTCCAGTCCAGTGCCAGACCTAATATGGAGGGTAACTTTTTCTTATGGACAATAGGTATCGATTATTTTGCTGTTTAGAGCAGTTCTAACCTTATTTATTTTAGAACCATCTGCTGCTCCTTCGGATGTGAAAGGACGTAACACCAGCTCAACCAGCATCTTAGTAGAGTGGGATCATGTTTCAAAGCCCGATCGGAATGGCATCATTACGAGTTACAACATTACCTATCACTCACTGACAGAGAATCACAGTAACAGTACAATAGTGGATTTTCCAGGTCGTCAAGGGACTCTGATTGGTTTGAAAGAGTTTGTTAACTACAGCATCACAGTGTCTGCCTCTACGAAGATAGGACCTGGACCAGCCAGTGAACCAATTATTGTCATAACTGGCGAGGACAGTAAGGGATTTTGCTCTTTGTTTGATTTTTTGCACAATAGTTTAGATGATTACCAGAGAAAATAACGTAATTGTATTGTGTCCCTTCCCTTGCAACTTGACAAGCATCAAAGGACAAAGACACGTGCGTTGATCATATGGTCAATCTTTGAAAATTCACGTGATAGAATCTAAAAGTGAGAGAACGAGATGATAATGTGTAGTGGTCGTGTCAACGTATGGTTATAAGAGAGCGTCAAACGGGCTTGAATTCTTTTTTTTTTTTTTTCTTGTTGATAAGAATTTGTTACTCTCATCCAACCCAAAACGTCCTCAAGTCACGCAAAATTAAAGGGAACGAATTTCCGAGGCGTTGATGGGAGGAATTTGGTTGTGTCACGTTGAAATCTATCTGATGCTCTCAACAAGGCTCTGTAATGTTGTTACGATCCCCATCACATCCTCCCCCCCTCATCGGCGGCAAGTAATTGGTAGTCAGTTGGTGGTCTGTTGGCCCTTCGCTACTCATGAGAATCATGCGATTCTTCAAAAAATTCTCCCTTCTTCCTAGGCGATTACTTACGACGGGTTCCTAAAGGATGTTGCCTTAAAACAGGATCGTTTGGTTTTTTTAACTTCCGTCTTCCTTTACACCACAATCAAAATGAAAAATAATTATTAGGACACAGATTTCAACGCAAATTTAAAAAAACCTTTCCAAACAGAACTCTATGTCTATGTTGCCGCACAAAAAGGATGGGGGCTCCAAAGCGAGAATGCATCAGCATTTGATCGAAAATTGGCTCGTCGCTTATAGGTCCCCTGGAGTGTGCAGACCTCTGGCGAGTGGTATTTGAAGTAACAAATATTTCAGACGGTCTCCTCTTTACTTCGAGTGGTTACAATGACAATACTAAGACAATAATATAAAATGTGCCCAGCACGTTGACGCATGTGCAATCCTTAATATGAAGAGGCTGCCGACGGTGTTTTGCTAAGGTTACTGATATACTGTATATTTTTCTTGTAAAACTCAAGAAAAGTGCGTGACTTTATGACAATATTCCTTTGTCCGCAGAGCCAAGTGGTCCACCAGAACAAGTCACATTAGGTGATGTGACATCTACAAGTATTAAAGTAACATGGACTCCCGTCAAGGTTGGGGATCGAAATGGAATCATCAAGGGATACAAAGTAATTTCTCGAGCATTACCAAACGGAGATAACGACACAGAAGTCGTCAATATTACCATTGAGAGTCAGGACACTGGAATAACACTGCCGTTAGTGAGACTGAATGAGTTTACAAACTACAGCATTAGAGTGTTAGCATTTACTGCAATCGGAGATGGTCCGTTAAGTGTTGCCGAGGTTAAGCAAACACTGGAAGACGGTAAGTTTTTGTTTGGCATCTATGCTAGTGACGTTACATTGAAATACACTGCTGCGGCCTGTATACACATTATATTGACGGCTTTCTTCATTTTATTTAAAAACTTCGATTTATATGTGCGACAATTTGCCTTTATTACTTTATTTCATAGACAGACGTTTTTGTGTGGTAAAATTTTTTACATGCTTGATATTTTGCCATGTACTTTTTATTTTCTTTAATTTCATGAAAGGTAAAATTGTATCGTAACGCAGAAGGTTTATGTCCTCTCATTAGTTTATTTAAAGATGTAAAACATCGCTCCTTAAGAATTTTTTCTGGTAGACTTTTGAATACGGTGAACAAGGCATGGTGTTTTGATTTGTGTTTTGTTTTGTTTTGTGTTGTTTTTATTTTTGTTTTTGTGCCCATTGTGCTTGTAAGTCCGCAACACCTTCCCCAAATCCCTCAGGGTTTTCAAAATACACTACAAATTTCTCTTGTGGTTCGTCTTGACTCGTGTAAATTGGTTCAGCTCCGACTCTGGCCATGGTTGAAGGAACGTGATCAGTTTTCTTTACATTTACTTTTGCTTTTGTCGGGTTTGGTTCGATGCTTGTTTTGGTTTTTATCTGTATATTTCCTATCGTTTTAAAGTTACAAGCTACGTCGTCAAAGGTACTCACATTTGCGTTATTCTCTGAACATATCTAATACATACTTAAAAGAAAAATGTAAATTACAAGGGGAAAGAAGGAAAATTAAATCAACATTATTTTCTGTATTCTTATCTTATGGTACAATCAAAATGAAAAATAATTATTAGGACACAGGTTTCAACGCAAATATTAAAAAACCCTTCCATACATAACTCCATGTCCATGTTGCCGTGTGGAAAAGCCTGGAGGCTTAAGAGCGAGATTGCATCAGCATTTGATCGAAAATTGGCTCGTCGCATATCGGGCCCTTGTAGTGTGTACCTCTAGGGAGTGGTATTTGAAGTAACAAATATTTCAGACGGTCTCTTCTTTTCTTCGATTGCTTACAATGGCAATATTAAAACAATGATATAAGATGTACCCAGCACGTTGACGCATGTGCAATCTTTAATATGAAGAGGCTGCCGACTGTTTTCTGCTTAGGTTGCTGATACACTGTGTATCTTTCTTAAGAAAGTCAAAAAAAGTGCGTGATTTTCTGACAAGATTCCTTTGTCTGCAGAGCCAAGTGGTCCACCAGAAAAAGTCACATTAGTTGATGCGACATCTACAAGTATGAAAGTAACGTGGACTCCCGTCAAGGTTGAGGATCGAAATGGAATCATCAAGGGATACAAAGTAATTTATCGAGCATTACCAAACGGAGATAACGACACAAAAGTCGTCAATATTACCATTGAGAGTCAGGACACTGGAATAACACTGCCGTTAGTGAGACTGAATGAGTTTACAAACTACAGCATTAGAGTTTTAGCTTTTACTACAATCGGAGATGGTCCGTCAAGTGTTGCCGAGGTCAAGCAAACACTACAAGACAGTAAGTTATGACTAACTTTATTTTTCTGAATTCAATAGCGTTAGCTAATAATGAGTTCTAGGGATACTTTCCCGGCTTTTTCTATTTGAACTAAACCAACTGTATTTTTATAACTTTCATTTACATCCCCATCTCCCTCATGTTGATGTTGCCAAGTGTTACAAAATGGTGACACATTTTAGGTTCCATGCTGTTGAGTAGAGGGGGTTGTCGACCGGTCATTGTAGCCCTTTCATCTAAATATCCCATCAATAGCTGTATGAGAAACAAAACATCACATGCCTGCTTGTAAATACAAATTTATTTAATATCAATCCTGAAGGTAAAATGCGTATCCTCACGTGATCATGAGATATCTTCTCTATGTACTCAGCGTCATTCTAGTGATATCACATTTTGAAAATAGAAATCAACATTTTTTTTAATCTTGTTTTCAGAGCCCGGTGGTCCTCCTCAGAATGTTGATGTAAACAGTACGACATCAACAAGCATTCTTGTCATGTGGGATGATGTTTCTCTGGAGCTACAGAATGGTAAAATTATTAGTTACAACGTGAGCTATCAGGCAATACCAGAAGCTGGATCTGCTGGGCCTATTAATTCGACAATAGTTAAGGCTCCGACAAGGCAGGTAAACCTGACCGGCCTAACAAAGGATATGCATTATAACATCAGTGTTTTGGCGTCCACAATCAAAGGAGACGGGATTTACAGCCACCCACAAACGTTTAGAACAAACGAAGACAGTAAGTTCGTATTTTACAATTATGCGACCTTTGAAAGTAAACTCACGCGATATAGATTTCTGCTAATGATTAGAATGTTTGCCATCACCAACGCGATCGGGTCCACTTACTTAATAAAACGGGTCAGCGATAAAGTAAATTAATAACAAAAAACATCACGAATAACAGAGCTATTTGGCGACGATTTCGCATCTAGCCAAACTCTTATTGTCCAGTTTCCACAAAATATTTCCGAAGTCACTTATACGGACCGTTGTTTGGCGATCAAATGTACTGGACAGGCTTTCCTGTGACATCTTTCAAGCAGGTCTGTGGAATAATCTTTCTGCCGCGTGGGACCAAAAGCAAAAAACTGGCTTCTTAGTTAAGAAATTTCGATAAAATCTGTTTTTTGTGACCCGTATTTCTAGAGGTGAACATGCTTTTAGTTCTATCGCTATAAATCTATCGGAAGCATTTACTATTACATTTTCCGTTTTTGCTTAGGGCCCGGTGCACCTCCTCAGAATTTAACTGGTTATAACATCAGTTCGACCAGCATTAGAGTTGCATGGAATGAGGTGCCGAAGGACAAACAGCACGGTGATATCAAATACTATACTATCATGTACAAGAACACGACAAATCTCACCCACGAGCTCGAACTAATTACAAAGATAACTGGAAAGTTTTATGAATTAGAGAATCTTACTAAGTACACATTTTACGACATCAAGGTTTCAGCTGCTACACGTGTAGGGAGTGGACCAGCAAGTAAACCCATCAAAGTCCGAACAGACGAAGACAGTAAGTGGAAATTCCTTTATTTCCTCAATCTAAACACAGAAAAAGAATTTTAAGAACAGTGCGTCTGCCCCCACCTTTTTTATTTTTTTTCATTCATTCATTCATTCATTCACTCACTCACTCACTCCCTCCCTCCCTCCCTCCCTCCCTCCCTCCCTCCCTCCCTCCCTCCCTCCCCCCCTCCCTCCCTCCCTCCCTCCCTCCCTCCCTCCCTCCCTCCCTCCCTCCCTCGCTCAGTCACTTTATCATGTCCTGCTGATCTTCTTTTAATCTCATGGTGAATATATGTATTATATATGCAACAGCTCAGAGAAGGGTAAGTCCACATGTGTACTTAATTTGAATTAATCATTCTTCATATTTCTTCTTCTTTGATTAGAGCCGACTGGAGTTCCTCAGAATTTACAAGGTGATGTTACCAGTTCGACCAGCATTAGAGTCGAATGGGATGAGGTTCCGAAAGACGAACAGCACGGTGTAATCATTCGGTATACTGTCATGTACAAAGGGTCAGTAGAGAGTAGTTACGAATCAAGGGAAGTCACGTCCAAATCTGTTGAGTTAACAGGACTTACCAAGTACACGTACTACGACATCAAGGTTATAGCAGCTACAAGTAAAGGGAATGGACCAGAAAGTCCACTTATCCAAAGGCAAACAGACCAAGACGGTAAGTAACATAGGAGCCCAAAAGCCCAAAAAAAGACTAGTAACTACGATGTGTCAATTGGTCTGTCTGATTTGTGTGATCGATCTTTTGTTCATAGGTTATCAATTTTCTTTCCTTTTTTTGTTTTTGTTTTTTGTTTTTTGTTTTTTGTTTTTTGTTTTTTGTTTTTTTTTTTCAAGGACTGCTGACCTAGACGGTGTATCCATAGTCAACCAATTTGTAGTTGGTTCCCTAATCTTAAGCTCTCTGCTATTATTTAGCCCTATCGTTTTGGTGGAAACTCAGAATTACATACTTAAGTGTGGGACACTGGACAAAAAAGGATAATCTGCCCTCACAGTTATTCCGCAATTCCTTCGAATTCTGTGAAATCACATAAAGTCCCTTTTTCTTCAAAAGTAAACTTCATTGACAATCTCAGCTACGTTTGATGGAAACAAAGCGATGTTTTCCTTTTCTTTTTCGTGGCAGTGTGGATTTGCTCTTTTTGCCACTATTTTGATTTACTGTATGAAAATAACCCACAACTCTGGATATGTTTCAAAACTAGGAATAATAACCGGTGATTTAAAACTGTTATTTGTTGCAGAACCTGAGAAACCTCCCCAATCAGTCACCGTAACGACATTAGACAGCAGTAGAATCCAAGTGACGTGGGAACCGGTTCCTAAAGATTTCCAGCATGGTATTATAACGGAGTACGTCATACTTTACAATTATTCCGGTGAAGGAAAAATATCAGAACACAAGGTATTAGGAAATGTTAGCGAAGTGGTTGTTGGAGGACTCAAGCAATCTACTGAATACACAATCCGAGTTCTGGCTGCAACCGTGAAGGGAAGGGGTCCAGCAAGTAGTCCTAAATCTGCTACAACCGAGGGTAAGGAAGCAATTTAAATGGTTTCAAGTGGTAATTTAGATAAGCGTAAATCTGTCAGGTCACAACGATATAAAGCAACGAACTGAATTACACATTAAGAAGGAATCGTCTAGTTAGTTGGTCATTCAAGACGGCTGTGAGGCAGCAATTTTCTTCAGAAATGAATAAAGAACGGCACTAGACAAGTGGATTACTTGTCTGATTTGTGCCTGGGATCATTTTTAAAAGTTGTGTACACCATTATTTGGGTTGATCACTTTTCTTTTTTTTTTTTTTTACGTTCGTGCTATTTTTATCAGATAATTTTGGAAGCAATAAAGGGATGGTGTAGGGTAGAAATTAATTTTCGCAATGACTATGCTTTAAAGTGGCAAAATCATTAAAGTGATATGAAATTACTTGCACGAGAGCCCCTCGCTTCATCTTAAATAGTGCAGAGATATGACTTGAATCAAAAAGGTGACCGATTTAGGTATGAACATTAATTATGCGTGCACAATGGCCGATCAATGAAAGTGTAAATGTTAAATTGTACTTGATGTTTGGGAAAAAAAAAAAGGAAGAAAGGAAAAAGGTCATCTTCTTTAAGCTTATTTTGTTTTTCTTTTGTTTGCATCGTGATATTTACTTTTTGCCTGCCTTGGGGTCACCATGAAATTTCACTCAATAACAAGGCAAATTTATTGCTAGAAAAATTTGCTTTTTGTTAAATATTTCTCAGAAGAGATGCAAAGCCTCCAGCTTCTGCTATAACGTAATACGTTTTCTTTTCACCTTGCAATCACTTGTCTTCTTTTTCACCATGTTAGATCCACCAAAGCCGCCAGAACCGGACGAAGGCGACGTTGGAAAAACGGAAGTGAACATACCGTTTGTACCGAAACAGGAATTGAGTGACGGTGCCCCAGTCACGTCAGTTTTCTCCTTTTTTTTTTCTTTTTTTGTTTTTTTCTGTTTAGTTTTCGTAGCCTAATCTCTGGAAGGGAAGTGACCAAGGTTGGTCGTAACCCATACCCTCAGGGTGGTTTCTGCCCTGGTGCTAATTTCCCTGGAGTTTTTTAGAACTTACTTTTTTCAGGAAAGTGAGGTGTCGGATGATTCTTTCTTTGCCAAAGCCAATTCACTTAGGTTGTCTCCTTAAGAAACCCCTTACCTGGCTTTAAGAAGTTCCTCCTAAATAAAAATTGTGTTTTCTGAATTTTTCATTTTTAGTAAGTATCAAGTGATAGTCATGGAACTTACAGATGGACAAGATCAAGGGAAATCGTCAGATTCAAAATATGCTAAAGTCACCAGAAAATATGAAGATCGAAAGGCAGGGGAACCATACGTTACGGCTGAATTTGCAAACAATAACGAGAAGAGGACATCATTTCCTGTTGGAGACGGGAAGTACTACTCTTTGGAAGGTGTTACTGACGCCAAAAGGAAGCGCAGAGAGGGTGGGTCAATCGACTTGACTTCTCATAATCAATCTGATATGACATTTGAATTGATCTTATACATGCGAAAAAAAATGAAAAAATTCAACCTCTCTGAATTACTTGAATTGCGTTACGGCTTCAATGCCTTGGGTGTATGCAACTTGTAGCAGAAGGGGTCTTCTTTGTAATTTAATTGATATCGTTTATGTTGGATTTTTAAAATTATTATTATTATTATTATTATTATTATTATTATTATTATTATTTTAACTCGCGTTCATACAGCACTGTGGTTAGCCTCAGCAAAGGGTTGCTTAAGGATATGCGTTCAGAGAAAGTTTCAGACTAAATCATTGAATGATGCTTTTAGTGGTACAAAAAAAATTGGTCAGTGTCATAAAGAAGCTATCTCGACACTCACTTAGGAAATGAAAGCCCAGGCATATCGTCAAACGTTTGGCTTTACAGTCCATGGTTCAGAGGCCAAACTTAGCACAAAAAACGTTGAGATTACTGTAGTAAAAATTGCGATGATATATTTTTATCTTTTTATTTATTTACTCATTTATTTATTCACCCATTATGGAAAAAAATGTCGATAGGGTTATAGAGAAAATTTATGTCGATTTGTGGTGAGATCCATTCATTGAAAGCACGGCCTTAGTATGTACTATGATACCGAGGTAGGACGCAACTATAACACTTGAATTCCGGAAGAAAGTGAAGAAGACCAAGTAATGCTCTTTAATAGTGCGCATGCGACAAATGTTATCGTGAACTCTTGAACACCGAGACGTGACAAAGATGTAAATTGTCCTTACAACATTACACATTGGTGAAAAAAGAGGTGATAACGATGAAAAAAATTGTCGCCTTGAAGATAAAACGGATCAGGTCTTAGAAATCTGAGCGATATAGAAAGAAAAGAGGACGCGGCTTTACCTAATTTATGCAATTGGATTCTTATGGAATACTAAGTAAGCGTCATTAAAAATGAATGAATAATATTATGACATGAAACTTGAGCTCCTAAAGAGTGATTTAACTTCTCGAAAGTTACCTTCAAATGTTCAAAAAAATTGAAAGAAATCATTTGTGGAGTTAGTTGCCACTCTGAATTTGGCACAGCAACCTTGTCGCTTCCCTCTGCTCTCTCCCCCCTCCCGTTCTTTTTTTTTTCTTCTTCTTTTTTTCCCATTTTTCCAAATAATTAGAGTCAGACAAGAGGTATTTTGACTCTTTTAACCAAGCTTTCTTGTTTTTCTTTTAGTCGTGGAAAAGTTTCTCAATGGCAAGCTCGACGATGGAGCTAAGTACGTTGCATTTCAGCGGTCGTTCGACAAAGAGGGTGATTATGAGAGTGAAGGATTCGTTGACTTTGAAACCAACAAGGACCACACAGTTACAATCGTGGTAGTGGTTGTTCTAATTGTTGTCATAACTGCATGTATAGCAGTGGGAATTTTCGTCTATCGTCGACGACAAAGCAGCCCTCGCAATGGCGAGGAAGAGATGGCCCTGAGACCTCAAAGACGTGGAAGAACTCTATCACAAAAAAATCCTTGGTCGTGCATCAGGAGCCTTCGGTAAGAATTTCTAGAAAAATTTTCTTCCAAAAACTAAGTTGCCGCACTTGTGGTTGCAGTGAAGTAAAAAAAAACCAAAGTTACCAAAACGGCTCATTGGGGGAAGGAAAATTATGGGGAGCCAAAGAGATTTCAGTGCAAAAATGTGGGCGACCATATAGCAAGTGGTTTCCTTCATCCGATTGGTTGAGAGAGTGACAAGGGTTTGATCTCAGAGAGTAGTAAAGGAAAACCACTACAATACTGGATACCCAATTGATGATAGCTCAATTGAGAAAATGACAGTTGTTTCTTCAATCCACAGACAACCCCGCCCACAATCCTGGGGAAGCAGTGCCAGTGGAGGAATTTGAAGAACACGTGCGTCGTTTGCACGCCAATGGCGATCTCTTGTTTTCTCAAGAGTATGGTGCTCTAAAGCCTCAAGCCGAATTCACTTGGAATGCGACTCTGGCTCAGGAAAACAGGCACAAGAACCGTTACAATAACGTAGTTGCATACGACCACAGCCGAGTCAAATTATCGCCTATACAAGGTGTACCAGGCTCTGATTACATCAACGCAAACTTTCTTGACGGCTATCAGAAAAAGAGGGCGTACATCGCTTCACAGGGACCCCTCCCAGAGACCGAAGATGACTTCTGGAGAATGATCTGGGAACAAGATTCAAAGATCATCGTTATGGTTTGTGTTAATTATTTTATTACTCTGTTTACTAACCTTCCATATAATTTCTTAATCTGGCGGTGATAAATTGAAGATCAACTGATTTTAAAAATACGGCATAGTGTACAGTCACCAAAAGAAACCTTTGCAACCTATAAGAGTTTTTTTTTTATTTCTTTCTGAGAGAGCTCTACGTCCACTTGACGGTGGCCAGAAGAAAATGATCTTGAGCCACGTTATTGTTTTACAGCCTAATCATGGTCACGTATGACTGTCACGCATTTTATACATCTTTAGATTTAGCCTATCTGTTTTGTCACGTATCAGGCGTAATTGCCATGGCAAACAAATGAAACCGAAGCTTGCGAAATTTGCTAATTGAGATTGCTTGGTTATACGCATTTCATCTTTAACGAACGATCAATTTTACGTTATCCGCTTTCTGCTGGTGTCATTTCCCGATTATAGATCTTCCTATTCTTGTCTTCTCTTATTTTTCTCTTGTCCACCCATTAACATTGCCTGTCCATCCCCTCCCAGGTGACGAATTTGGAAGAGCGAGGTCGTATAAAATGCCACCAATACTGGCCGTCGGAGGGTGGAAAGGCTTATGGTGACATTCAAGTAACGCTAATGCAGATAGTGGAGCTCAGCGATTTCACAATCCGTACTTTCACTCTAAAGAAAGCCAATAGCAGAAGTGAAAGAACTCTACATCAGTACCATTACACAGTATGGCCAGATCATGGTGTCCCTTCTTGTCCTACTTCACTTCTCACGTTTGTTAAGAAGGCGTCTGGTGCTAATCCAGCAGACGCAGGGCCCATGGTAAGTTTTCTTGAAGTCTGAGTGGTGTGTAGCTCAGAGTCAGAGAGGATAAGGGCAGGAAAGGGCCAGTAGCTGTTCTGAAAAATCATGAATTATCTCAGCCAATACCACTCTTTTGGACCCCATGTTACGGCTACCTTGATTTCAATTATGGCGCGTTGTGCACTCAATCACATGAGTGTACCTAGCGTTTTTCGGGAGGGAAGCATTGAAGAAACAAACTATCAAGCGTGGCAGGCGTGACTTTTATGGGTGGAATAGTGGCATTCCCAAATCCCCCCTCTGATAAATTTTTATTCCTAGGTGCTTGGAAATTGAAATTCGCTCAACTTCTTCAAAAAATTAAGAAAGGCATGCAACATCGTTTAATATTTAACCACTCTTTTTCAAGTTGTGATAACTCCTAATCGGTGTTCGTTCAATAGGAGCGACTAGTTTTCAAATAGTTTGCAAGACATACCAGCTTAAGAAGGGGAGATTAAGACATAATGTTGGAACGAGAATGGTTACCCATGGAAAATAATTACCATGGAATTCAAATGAAAAACTGAACTAAAGAGTTAGTGTTAACTGCTCCCAGTTAACAGTCGTTCCTTATTTCAGGTTGTTCACTGCAGTGCTGGGGTTGGCAGAACTGGTACTTTCATCGTGGTGGATGCCATGTTACAAAGTATTGCTGCAGAGAAAACAGTAGATGTCTTTGGATACGTTATGACATTACGACGTGACAGAAATATCATGGTCCAGGTGGAGGAGCAATATGTTTTTATTCACGAAGTTCTGTTGGAGGCCATTCATTCTGGATACACTGAGATACGAGCGAATGATCTTAGATCCCACATGAAGCTCCTAATGCAAGTCAGTCCTTCAACTGGTACGTCTTTCCTTCATCTTTTCTTTAAATTTGTTTGGCTTTTGCATTGTCAAAAAGGCTGAGAGTTCGTTACTGAGCAGTATTTTTGCTATCGTCATGCTTGGAAACTAAAAGATTCTTAAGCGTGGAGTTTCCAGTAAGATGACGTATGCTGCATCGTAACTTTAACAATAAGAACTATAACTGGCCTCGGCTTGTCTGATAGCTCCATGGTCAACGACTCATTTACTGGCACTAAACTCTCAGATGAAAAAAGGAAGCAATGATGAAAATTTCAACTAAACGTCGGTCCGGGGGAATGCAGAGGACCCAGCTTGCAATGTTCCCACAGTAACTGTTTCCAAGAGAATGCCGTTTCCTTTTGAAAACGTTTACCTAATCAAGCGCCGTAAGAAGTAGTTGGGCCTGAAGACGTTTGTATTTGTAACCTGTACTAACAGATCTTTGACAGTTAGTTGAGTCTTAGCTGCCATACTTTCTTTCTTCTGGTTTCCTTCGCTTCATTAGAAAACACTTAAGAATAATGAAATGACCCTACTCCCATGCTGACCTCAGAGTATTCCCTACATTTCAGGCCAAACTGAAATGGATGAAGAGTTCATCCGTTTGGGTCGCGGTAATACTCCGCAAACCAAGTTCCAGGCTGCCAACATGGGCTACAACAAGACAAAGAATCGTTATGCAAACGTGTTAGCCTTTGATGATACTCGGGTCAAACTAAGTATGATCACTGGCATAGAAGGTTCCGACTACATCAATGCTAACTTCATTGATGGCTACATGACTCGAAGAGCATTCATTGCAACACAGGCTCCCATACCAGACACTATTCCGGACTTTTGGCGTATGATCTGGGAACAAGAGTCCTCCACCATAGTAATGCTCTCGAAAGAGACTGAAAGTGGCAAGGTAATCGCGGAACATATTAACAAATAAACTCTTAGACATATAAGAATTTTATTACATATTCATAGGAAGGTTAATACAAAAGAAAAACTGAATATATCAAAGACAGTTTGTCTTTTGGCTGTTTAGTCAATTTTTCTAAACTCATTTACAATTTCGTGTGGGACAGGCAGAAGTCAGAGTTGATAATCAGACCAACTTTTCTTCCTTATTTTCTTTATGCATCTGTACTAATCCAAAATTCTTTCCAATTTGTACTAAGCAACATTCCAAGACATAGAAATGCACTTCGTAAATCTTGTCGTTTTCGCCTCAGAAAATACAGCATCATGGCTTTCAATTGCTTTTTTCCATAAGTGGCTCCTGGTAGTTTAACCCTTTAATGCCCAAGATCTCTCTAGTAATTCTCCTTACTGTCTGCCGTACAATTCTTATGATGCTAATTCTGAGAATACGGTACGGGATCAACCAGAAAATCCTCTAACTTACATATTTTTCGTAACTCTCATCACCTGTCTGATTGATATTGTATTGGTATTGTGAGGAGAATTTTTTTCTTGGTAACTCATGGGAGCTGTACCCGAACAAAGAGCGGTAAAGCAAAACTAAGACAGCAGTGAGAATTCATATAGGGGTCGGTAAACTGCTGCTGACAGCTTTTATTTAAACCCTCGAAGGATACAGTTTCCTTTCCGTTTTCACTAAAACAAGGGCGTCACCACTTCGGAGGTCGAAGGCATGATTCATCTATGACCAGTTTTTTTCTATGAATTTGTGTTCGTTTTCGTATCTTTTTTTTGGAGTAGAGTGCGAGAAACAACAGTCAGAGGTTTAAGGTTAGATTATTTCAACATTTACATGTGAAATCCTTTATCTTATTACAGGTCAAGGTACATCGTTACTGGCCTGCAAAACAGCCGGCGAATATCGGTACTCTGGTAGTGGAAATGACTAATGAGATGGTTTATGAGGATTACACAATGCGTGAAATAAAACTCACCAATACCAAGGTATCGTTACTGCTGCCAAACGGAATTAAATACATTTTAAGGGTTTTCGCAATGGAAAAATTTGAACGATAATATCAAAGTGAACGTCGCTTTAGGAGAACTTGTATGCTGCCTTAGAGGAGCAACGCTTGTTGATGAAGATCAATTCCTTAGTTAATGTGAGACTTTCTGCGATGAGACGACGAAGCAGAAAATAGCAAGGACAGAAAGCAGCGTAAATTCGCTTTGTGGGACATAAAGAGTTTTTGTGGAAACATTTGTCTCTCTGCGATCGCATTTTTTCTCCAGAAACAAGTTGCACGAAATTGAAGTTGTCTAAATCGTGGTGAGCGTTTGTTGCTGGAATTGAGGCAAAGCTTCTTTTGCGGAAAGCAATACATTCACGGTGGTTTGCAGAAATAACCTGTCTTGGCACCCTAAACCAAAGCGTGTTTCGAACTTTCTGAGTAAGATAGAAAATTTCCAAAGACTAATGAAATTTACCCAAGGTTTAAATTGATTCAATTTTCAAGTAAAAAGATCCGATGTACGGTTTGGAATTGGTAGGAGATTATTACACATATAAAGTAGGTATTTACCTGTTTAACGTGTAAATTCTATCTTGAATACTTCAGGAGAGTGCTTCGCGAGTTGTCCGTCAGTATCATTACACTGGTTGGCCTGATGTTGGGTCTCCAGAATCTGGTACAGGATTAATCGATCTCATTGGTCAGGTACAAAGGTGGCAGCAGAATTCAGGAAACACAACTATCACTGTACACTGCAGGTATTTAAAGACGTTAATACTTCTACAAATTGAACACAATTTGAAGGATAAGTATTTGATCTCCGTCATTTAAAGTATCCATGCAAAATACCGCCTTTCCACGTTCTGAGCTTGCAGATGGTCATGTAATCGTTTCAGAAGTTTATAGACTGGCCATATTTAATCTAACATCTCAATGACTTGACCGCACACACAACCACAACAAGTAGTTCAAAACATGTTTATTTGGTCAAGAATGCCTTACTGCGAAACATCTTAGAATTCAAGCAGATTCAAAGAGGTAAGAGAAGTGAGGGTTTATGAGGTTGCAACGACGTGGTGAGGTTTCCAAGCAAGATTGACTATTGTGGCCTTGTTTTTTTGTCGCTTTTTTTTTCTTTTCTTTTTTGTCGCCAAAAGTCGGGTTCCTTTCCGGAATCTAAAAACGCAATCAATGACAAAAGCTCCTGTACGTCATTAAAAACTCTCTGACTTAAGTTTGGTTACATCGCTTTCTTTCATCAGCGCTGGAGTGGGTCGCACCGGAGTGTTCTGCGCCCTCAGTATTTTGATCGAGCGGTTAAAGAGTGAAGGTGTGGTGGACGTCTTCCAGACTGTGAAGCAGCTGAGAGCTCAGAGGCCCGCTATGGTTCAGACAAAGGTGAGTACGTCTATCGTTGTAAAGAAGTTTACTTTTTATGAAGCAATCTCACTCCGGTAAGTTTATCGAAATTCACCAGCTGGGGGGTTGGACATTGGCCCTTTTTGGCAGCTGTTTTCAATAGAAATTGAGGGCCGATACCGTTGGTCGAAAACAACTGTCCAGATACTTAAATCAGAACTAAATGGACTGGTTTGGAAAGTGTTCTAAAGTAATTGATACAAGTTAAAGCAGACTGATCTGACTGTAGTGTTTTTTTGTCTTTTGTTTTTTCTTTGTAATGGACTGAACCCTTCGTGAATGTACTGAACTGGCCGACTTGCTCTGAACAACTGTAAGCACCCTGTGTCTTGTGTAGACCTTTTACTAGTCCTATGAAAAAATGCTTCTACTTCTTGAAAATTTAAGGGGAACTGCGTGCTTAGTTTTATAGAGTAGCTTGTGGTAAGGTGGTACACCTCATTAGGTCTGCCTGTGGCAACCATTTTGGCCAAGAGATAACCGACTATCGTTTGAGTTTATAAGTAGAAGGAGTTTAATTTTGTGGTTTTCGCTCACGTAGTAGGAAAAAAGAAAGAATATTTCCAAGACATTCATGAGAATGTTTGGTATACAACTACAGTTTCGAGTTAGTGGGAATTATAATGGTATGTTGTTGACAACTGTCAGGTTGAAATAGTGAGCTATCAATGCCTTTCCTTGCACTTAAGGATCGGGGGAACAGGTTATCAATAAATTTCTTGATCGATTTTTTCACTTTCAGGATCAATACGAGTTCATTTACTCTGCTCTCAGTGAGTATTTGGACTCCTTTGATGCCTACAGTAATTTCGAGTAACTGACATGGTTGAAGATAATCAACCTCAAGGAAATAATTACAACTGACCATCAAGGTGGAAAGAGGAAAGGGCAAGAACAATTTTCTATTTTTTGTATTAAGCAAATAAGTAATTTTCTTCAAAAAGATTCCAGTTGGCCTTCACCGGTTGTAAACATGAATTAACTGACTGAAAACGAATACTTAAAGTAACTGGTAGTTTTGTAAACGTCATGTGCTCCTCTAAGATAAAAGAAAATGAAAGCTTTCCCCTTTCAGAATAAAAACTTGTCGAGATCGTTGTAGGAATTAGAAACCATTAATAGCTTTGTGGTTATGATACAGATGTGTCGTCAAAATAATAACATTCACTTAAGACGTGCCAAAGATTTTTTTTTGTTTCTAGCATTATGAAAATTGCAAGAATGTTTTTAATAAATGAAATAGATAAATTTATGCGAACTTCGCAAATTATAGGTGAAAAATTGTTTAGCTTTTAGAGAAGTATTTATTAGCGCGAATCAATTACAAAAAAGTGTGTTCTCTCATAAAAGGAATATAACTTTTCACTAAGCCATTAACGTTCTTAATGCAGTCAGTTAATATCCATGCTGTTCTCTGAGAAATTACTGGGAATTTTTTTCAATATCTTTATATAGGTGGCTTAATAGTTCAGCAATTTTGTAACGAGCGTTTGTAGATAGACTTTTGAAATTCTTGTTAAAAGAAATATAATCAAGTGATTAGGTAGCTCAGATAATTTGACACACTGTGAACCAAGCCCTGAAAAAACGTGGTAGAGAAATATTTCTACTATTTAAAATTTCTTGGCATGGTTTGCAGTAATCAGAATAAACAGAAACAGACATGCTATTCTTTTTTTTATGAACAACTTAACCAGGGCTCAATAGAAACAAGTATAAAAATTAATGTTAAAATAGGGAAAAGTTCTTTAGTGTGGTAAAAAGCAGAGAACTTTGGTCAACTTAGTCTGACGTAATTTTTTTATTTTATATTTATATTTTTGTAATTTAAACAAGACTTTTTCTTAAATGGTATCATAATAGGCTGTACTTGTGATTTTTTTTAATGTTGCAGAATTTAAAAAGCAGCTTCTGTTGCCAAGGTCACCTCTGCAAAATTGACCAATCCAATTGAAGGAAAAGGGCAAATAATTTTGATTTAAAAGTTTGTCGTCTTTGCCAGTTAAGTGAATTTCGGTGAAATATTTTTTTTATTCATCTCCAGGTGGTGATTGGTCAGTTTGATTCAGGTGACCCTAGTAATAGTAAAATAACCAATGATATTACAAAAAGCTATAATGGAATTAAGTGATTTGCTAGATAGGAGCAGGATTCGACACCCTGTTAACAATACAAGATATGCTTACAGCAATTATAATATCATATGCTCAAATGTGATTTTAATCGCAGGGTCGCTGACCAAATTTGACAAATATATATATACCTTGTTTTATAAATGAGCTTCTTTTTTTGACTTGAAGTTTAAAGGGATGTAATAGCCCCGTCCCCCCACTCCCTCTCCGTAAAATAACAAGGGAAAGTTGTTCACATTAGTTTAAACAATCTTTTGAAGTTTCTTAAACAGTAGTTTGTCCTTGAGGGGTTTGGGTAGAGGTAAGTATTCCGCCTTGTTTTTCAAATTCGTTCCTAGTTCCTTGCGCACAACCAGTAGACACAAATGTTCAAGTCTTGGAGGAATGGTCTCCACTTGCTTGAGAAACTCATGAACCTCCGCACATCGTGCAACATGGATAGCGGCAACTTTACCACGGTTCTGATTTCTTACGCTTGCTCCAGCTGCGCATAGGAGGGCAGCGCATTCTTTATTTTCACAGTACATAGCGACATAATGAAGCGGTGTTATACCATCGTTGTCCCTTACATTTGCATCGGAACCAAACTTGAGTAAAAGGGCCAGGGTGATGTAGTGAACCTTAGAAACAAGAGACAAAATCTCTTACTCTTTTCATTGGCCTGCGAAAGCACATACAATAAACACGTGACTTTTCACAATTGAAAAACATATACATATATTGCCTTGGGCCTGTCCTGTGATAGACCACAGAGGACGTCAAAACATAAGAGCATCAGTACACACTCGGCCTTCGTTTGTCACCATCTTACAAAGTTTTGACGTCTCCTGCGGTCTTTTCCTGTGCAGAACCAAGACAACACGAAATCAATTTGTTTTATGGGATAAAAACAAAATGCGGTTAATGGTTTTGTCATCTGAACCAATCAAAATCCGTCTATGATTCAGGTTACTTTACAAGCTGAGTAGATAATGAGAATTCGACGTTGCGTGAGAACCAGGTTTATGACTAAGCACCTAGAAGTGATTCACTAAATGAATTTCGGCAAAATAAATGTTTGGAAGCTTACAGAGTTGGTCGGACTTTCATTATATCGTACCTCACCTTCATTCTCTCCCGAATTCGGATGCCAGATCGAGCCGCCATCTGTAATGGTGTTTCTTGGGTGGCGCTCCGCGCGTGAACATTGGCCCCGTGCTCACAAAGGACAGAAACTAATTCAGGGTAACCATATGAGGCAGCCAGGTGAAGCGGAGTGTACTGAGAATACTGGGCAGGGTCCACATTACATCCTGAATCAAGCAACAGCTTAGCGCAGTATGTGTTTGCTCCTTGAACGGCGTAATGCAGAGCAGTGTAACCATAGTTGTCTTTCTGATCTAGGATTTTTTTGTCTTTTGAGCAATTTCTGCATAAAACATCAAGACTGTTGTAAACGTCATGAGAAGCAGTTATGTGCAGAGCTGTCCTGCCATACATGTCAACACTGGATAGAACTGTGTCACCTGTAGATAACAATTTTCGAAGTAATTCTTGTTTTCCCAACAGCGCAGCATAATGAAATTCAGGCAAGCCTTGGAAATGATTTTGAAGTTCTTGAGGTTGGTTCATGTTCACTTTGTTAAAACTTCTAAAGAGGATCCTTAATTCTAAACGATCTCAAGATGCATTCAACAGCAAGAAGAAGACTTTGCCATTTTAACTGCTTCGTGTGAAAGAGCCCACGTGATTTTTGCTAACGGATAAATTTAAACATTTGACTTTATCGAGCACGAGCGCGCGCGCGGCACGGAGAGACGATCTTCAGGTGCACGCGCAATATGACAGCCTCTCCATGGCGCGTTTCACTTAAATATCAATAAGATTCATACAGCCTGCCTAAGCAGAACTCAACGAGATTCAAACAACGACTCGACGAGGACTCAAAGGGGGCTCAACGAAAACGCTACAACATGATATATTTATTATTTTCAACTGAGAGCGACTTCGCACTAAGCCTCGTTCTCGCGCTGAAATTTCGGCACCAGATCACTGAATCGCGAGACCTCGGAAGTGGCCTATTCCTTAGAGATAACTTATCTTCGAGGCTTTGATGTGTTCCACGTTGACTTTTCATGTTCTTCTGTTTGTAACTTGCTAAAAAGTTTTGACATGTTACAACCCTAACGTCTAAAATGGCACAATCAGACATCGCGTGTAAACTGTAAAATTTTCTTCCTTCTCAGAATGTTAGCTAATAAGTTGACTTTATTTACAGGTAGTTATCCTGGCGCTTTACGTGCCCTACCTGCGCAGCACGTCATCTTTACATGTAATTACATATCCTTAGTTAAAAACTTTCCAGCGAAACGAATCGGAAAAAAAGTTTTTAAGTCATAAATTGTTGCCTGAAATAAGAAAATGCGATTAGCAGCGTGCCTTAAACTTTCCATTCTGATTAAAAAATTCGCATTTTCTGGGCGAACAGGCTGGAAGGCGAAATTAATTTTCGTAAAAATCTTGCTCATCGCGAAAGAGAAATTGAGACACTGCATTGGACTTGATCACAAGGAATCCTTAAGCAAGTTTCATAAAAATGGGAAATATATATTGTTGATTAATTGATTTTTTGGGTAGGTTTATCTATTTATTTTTTGTCCTTTTTACAAACGTGAAATATGTGTAATATATCACTGTACCGCGTTATCTTGTTGACTGCTTTATCAGTAATGAAAGACGAAACAAAACAAAAATAGGAGCAACTGAGAATTAGGAATGTCAGCAGCTATGCAAAGATAACAACAGCAACAAAAAACAATTTTAAAACGTTAACATTATAAGGTGTTGTATACTATAAAAATCATACCCATTTTAACGTGGATATTTTTTGGAGTGTTAGAAATTGAAATTTTTCAAAGCGAAAAGTAATGACGACATTTTCGTTTTTGTCTTTTTTTCGTTTTTTATTCCACATCGGTTTTATTCAGTAAATACAGAGTCCGTAAATAATCCTTATTATCAAAAGGATTGGCAAATCAAGGCGATGCGATTCCAGGTCAAAAGCTGCAGCTCGTTCTTTTTTTTTTCGGAATTTGTAGGTAGCGCGAGTGTGTTTGATGCATAAAAGAGATCGAAGAAAGAATCCTAAGGAAACTGAGTTCCATGAACTCTGTGATTCTACGCTTGTGTTTTCTTCATTTTATGAAGAAAGCGTGCCCTTGGTTCACGGGATTTTTACACGTCTCATGGGAATATGCACGACAAACAGATCATAGACAAACATTTGTACGATCCGCAACTTAAAAAAAAGGAAAGGGCTGTGACCACTCGACTGAGAGTGACCTTGCCTAAATTTGCAATCCCTCTTGGTTATGCTAATTTACGAACACATCAAAACCATTATCGATCGGGTTGAACAAAAATGAATTTACTACAAAGGCGATAACGGATATTTGAAAATTGATATTGCCTGGATCAAATAAGCTGAAAACATTGTAAAAATGGTCGATCGCTTTGCTGGTCAAACTGTATTTCTGATGATTTATCCCTAAACTCGATGTCCTTTTTCCTATCACTAATACAGATTCTTATACTTATAATTTACTGATTTGGAAGCCCTGAAAGCAGTAACGACGTCGAGTGCCTTACCTCTGCAGTTTTCCGATGGTAAGAGATTTCTAGTGGGATTTAATGAGTACATCATTTTAATTTATTACCGTCTCTCAGAAAAACCAAATTACAATAGCTTCTAAACAGCAACAAAGGGCCAAAAGCAATTCAAGTTCTCTCACTATCATCCATTACCATTCAGTAGTTACCGCCATCGCAAGTCAATCTCTTCAATTTCTTGTGCTAAAAAGAGAAAAACACAGCGATCACCACGGATGTTTGTCAACACGAGGGAGGGTATTTGTGAAGGTTTGTTTTTTTGTTTATTCCCCCTCAGTCATTGTTATTCTGTTCAGGGGAACCGCAGTTTATCTGGGACTTAGAAAACATGATACAATTGCTCTTG